GCATCCCACTCCTCAGCCTCTCCTCAATATCCCCAAAGCATCTAAACCATCCCTTATTCCTTCCAGCTTTCTCCCCTCTCAAGGTTAATCTTGCTTGCCTTGGATCCATTCCCTCCTGTCCCCATCTTCTGTCATCCCTGCTCCTTTCCCTTAAGGTTTCAAACACATCTTTCCAGCGTTGGGGACCCTCCAACCCCTTTTTTCTAGTCTCCTTACTTTCTTCTTCTCCTCAATGCCAAGTTGTCTCCATTTGCAGTACTTACTTCCTCCACATCCACTCACTGTTATTTTTTTATTCATTCATTTTTTGAAGAGTTAATACATGTGCACAGTGCAAGTCTTAGGGTTATCTAGAGAAACAGAACCAGTGAGATAAAGATAGATGTAGGTAGGTAGTAGGTATGGAGGTAGGTAGGTAGGTAGACAGACAGACAGATAAATAGATAGAGAGGTAGATAGGTAGACAGATAGATATTTACTTCAGGAGATAAAACCCAGAAACAAAATCCATTGCCATCGAGTTGATTCTGACTCGTAGTGACCTTATAGGACAGGGCAGAACGGCTCCATAGGGTTTCCAAGGCTGTAATCTTTGTGGAAGCAGGCTGCCACATCTTTCTCCCATAGAGCAGCTGGTGGGTTTGAACCGCCAACATTGCAGTTAGCAGCTGAGCACTTAACCATTACACCACCAGTGCTCCTTCAAGGGATAGGCTCATGCAATTGTGGGGGCTGGAAAATCCAGAATCCACAGGTCAGGCATCAGGCTGGAGACTTCTGCTGGCTCACAGGATTGTGGGGGGCGGGGGTGGGGGATGGCCTGGCAAGTCCTAAATCTGTGGGTCAGGCACATCAGGAAAAAATTTGCCAGTTCAGACTCCTACAGGCTTGCACCCCAAGATCCATAGGTCAGGCAATGAGAAGACTGTAGGGTCGAGAGTGAGAGAAAGAGAGAGAGAGAGAGAAAGAGAAAGCCAGTTCTGCCAAAATATCTATTTATAGTCTGAAGGCAGCCCACACCCTAAGGAACTCCCCTTTCAACTGACTGATTGACTGCATTACATTACATTACATTACGTTACATTAGAGGAAGTGATTACATTAGATTGCATTAGATTACATTATACAACAGCAACTAGTCTAGCATTTGGCAAAATCACTGGGAACCATAGCCTAGCCAAGTGGATACATAAAATTAACCATCACAGTATAGAATTCAAATGTTCCAAAAGATACACAGTGAAACACCTTCCTCCCACCAGTCTCCCCATGCCCCACAATTCTCCTCAGAGGCAACCTCAGAGGCATCTTGTGTATCTTTCCAGAAAGCATGTGTGTAACTATATATTCTTGTTTGTATTTTCTATACAAATGGAGCATTTATATACCCTTTCTACCCTTTGCTTTTTTTATTTAAAGTATCTTAGAAAGTGTTCCATATCAGTTTTTTCAAAACAGCCTCATTCTTTTAAATGGCTGCCAGGACTCCACCATGAGAATGTACCATAAATTATTTAACCAGCTCTCTACTGTGGATGTTGAGGCAGTTTCCAACCCATCTTTCGTTCTAACAAACATACCGCAATGAGTATCCTTGTACATATAGGATCTTGCACACATGTGAGTGCATCTGTAGGATAAGTTCATAGATATGGGATTGTATTTTGCATTTGGTATTTAATTGCTCTGCATAGAAACTGTACCAATTCACCATCCCACAGCAATATATTGAAGGACCTCGTTTCGCCTCATACTCTCCAACAGATTGTCTTAACAATTTTCTTTTTTTTGCCAGTCTGCTAGGCGAAAAAGTATAGATTAAATTTGCTTTTCCTTTATGAATGTGACCAAGCATTTTTCTTACATTTAACAGTCATTTGTATTTCTTCTTCTGTGAATTGTCTGTTACTATACTTCTCCCATTTTGCTTTTATATTGTTGGCCTTTTAATGATCCCTAGGAACTTTGTATATGAGAAAATTAGTTCCTTGTCTGTGATATAAGTTGCAAATATTTTAGCCACTCTGTCCGTATCCCTTTGCAATAGGATTTTTGTGCCCAATAAAGCAAATTAAACCACTGTCTTTTGGTTCCTTGTGCCCTATTAATTGTGAAATCCAAAGGCTTTGCTGTGTACTCATTCTCCTGCTTTATTCGGCATTCGACAGTGCTGACCTATCGTTCTTGAACTCTCTTTCGTTTTTTTTTTTTTTCTTTTATTGTGTGCACGACTTATTCTTCCACCACTCGTCTGCCAGTTTGTTATACTGTGGGGGCTTGGTCGTTGCTATGACGCTGAAAGCTATGTCACTGGTATTTCAAATACCAGCAGGGTCTCCCAAGGCGGCCAGGTTTGAGCGGAGCTTTCAGGCTAAGACAGACTATGAGGAAAGTCCGAAAATTACCCAATGAAAACTCTATGGATCACAACAGAACATTGTCCAAAATGGTACTAGGAGATAAGCCCGCTAGGTTGGAAGGCACTAAAAAATACCTCTAAGAGAAACAGGTCCCAGGGGCTGTCTCCAAGACCTTACTCCATGCTCCAGACCCAGGGCCGTCCAACAATACCAGGCCAGTGTAAAGGTGGCATAACCTGTTGCCATTGAGTCCATTCCGACTCACGGTGACCCCATGTATTACAAAGTAGAACTGCTCTGTAGGGTTTTCTTGGCTGTAATCTTTACAGAAGCAGATCAGCAATGGACTTGAGTATACCAACAACTGTGAAGATGGCACAGGACCAGGTAACGTTTTATTCTGTTGTACATGGGGTCACCATGAGTCAGAGCCAACTCAGGGCAACCAACAACCTTATCTTGGATCTTCTCTCCTTTTTCTGTTACTTCTCTTATTCTTTGCCTGACTTCCTGTTGTAGATGCCCTTGCGATAGGAGGTCTTTCAACTCTGCCACAGCAGTGCCCTGGGGATGTGCCCTTTCTGGAGCTCTTGCTGGCGGTTCTCCTAACACCTTAAGTCTAATTAGATATGCAGATTGATATTGCCATGTTTGAACCCAAGGCAGACTCAGGACTTTTTGTCTGGACTGTTCTTTTTCATTTCCCACATAAAACTCAAACCAGAAAACGAAACCAGCTGCTGTCCAGACATTCTGACTCATGGAGCCCTCCATGTGCATCAGAGTAGAACTGTGCTCCAAAGGGTTTCCAATGGGTGAGTTTTTGGAGGAAGATCAGCAGGCCTTTCTTCCAAGGCACCTCTGGGTGGACTTGAACCTCCAACCTTTCAGTTAGCTGCCGAGTGTTAACCGTTTGCACTACCCAGGAACTCCCTATCAAACTCAACAAGTCTAAAATCAATCTTACCGTGTCTGCTCTCTCAAAACCACTCCTCTCTTTTGTGTTCCTCCCACTCTCCCACTTCTCCCATGCCTGAAACCTCAGTCTCCCCCACCTCAAGCAGTTGCCACAGATTCTTCTGCAGAAGTCCCTTCCACTTTTCGCATCCTTGTCCTTGTAACCCTCCTCCCTCATAATGGTCTCTTCTTCCAGGATTCTGTCCACACACTTCCTCCTGCTGCAGTCCTGCCCATTTAACCATTTAGTCTCTCTCTGCTCAGGAAACCTCAGTCCTTCCCATGCACGGTCCCTACCCCCTGCACAAAGCTGGAGCCCAGTGATAATTAACAAATCCATTCAAATGCAGTATGATAATTAATGAATCCATCCAAATGCAGTACTATGTCATCCAAGTCTTCCTAGTACTAGCAGATGGCATTTCCATCAGCTTTTTTTTTTTTAAATAGAGACTTCAGTTGTCCCTTTGGACGCATCGGTGTTAGTTTTGCCATTGTTGTTTTGGTCTTGTTTTTTTAACTTACTTGTTCAACCAACCAGAAAGCACTCTTGCTCTAGTCTCCCCAGTTCTTTCCCTCCAGACCCGTCTGCTTGGCTTTTGCTCTTGCTGCAGTTGTACCCTCCTCTTAGAGAAATGGGGCCCAGGGGCCATCTCCAAGACTCTACTCCATGCTCCAGTCCCAGGGTCATCCAGCAATACCAGGCCATTGTAAAGGTGGTATAACCCATTGCCACTGAGTCCATTCTGATTCACGGCGATCCCATGTGTTACTGGGTAGAACTGCTGCATAGGGTTTTCTTGGCTGTAATCTTTACAGAAGCAGATTGCCAGGCCTTTCTTCTGTGGCACCATTGTGCAGGTTCAAATCTCCAACCTTTAGGTTAGTAGTCCAGTCCAAACCATTTTGTGCCACTTAGGAACCTTCAAGAAGCCCTGGTGGTGCAGCAGTTAAACATCTGGCTGCTAGCCAAAAGGACAGCAATTTGAACCCAGCAGCCGCTCCACAGGAGAAAGATGTGGCAGTCAGAAAGATTACAGCCTTGGAAACCCTATAGGGGAATCCCACTCTGTCCAATAGGACTGCTATGAATAGGAATCCACTCCACAGCACACAACAACAAAAGGGACCTTCAAAGGTGGCATTACCCTGGCAAAAATATGGCCAGTGTCCCCTGTCCACTTGCACAACCCTGCTCTCCTTCTGCTTGTTACACCAACACACACGTTCCAAGACCTTGCAGGAAATTACCTCCTACCAGGTGTCAACAGCAGAAGCCCTCTGAAATTCTAACAGAACCTTGGATGACGGAAAGAGCCTTGGGGATTTAGCATTTCTTGGGGTCGCGGGACTCAGTAATCCCGTTCCACCCCAAGAGAACCAGTCCCCTACAGTGGTTTGCCAGGATGTTATTTGGAGGCCATTACACCCGAGAGAGCGAGGAAGGGCGTCCCCGAAAGCACGGTCTGCTAATAATGCTGCTCTCGGGCGGGAGGGAGAAGGGAGGGGAGAGGTGAGGCGCTAGAAGGGGTGGGGACCTCTGGGCTGGCCCAGGCGGGACGGTGTCCAGTGTGTGCGCGCGCGTGTGTGCCCGGCGTTGAAGTGCCCGGCACGTCGGGGCGGCAGGACGGAGGCCAGGGCGCGCGCAGAGGCTCCGAGTATCTCGCTTATCCAGCCACAGCCATGGCAGAGAACTCCGACAAAGTTCCCATCGCCCTGGTGGGGCCTGACGACGTCGAGTTTTGCAGTCCCCCGGTGAGTACAGCCCTGGACCCCCAGCTCGCTGCCGGATTAGTTCATACTCAGGGCCCGGACTGCGCATGAGGGTCCGGATCCACTGTCGAGGGCCAGGGAATTGTGCCACCGAATGTGTCTCGAAGGGTATGCGCAAGTTTGCGTGCCCAAATGTGTGCACTGGGTGGCGTCCCTTGCGAGTGGGTGCAGGGGGCTCGGGATCCACAGACGGGTGTGGAGGGGAGGGTGGAACAGGCGTCAGGAAGGGGCGTCCTGTGGCCCGCTGAGTTTGCAGAACGGCGGGGGCCTTGGCCCTGCGCCACGAAAAGTTTGCTTGTCACACATTCCCGCCTGAGTACAAGGGACCCTGGGGAGGGGCTGTTGGAGGAGAGCTTAGTGAAAGGGGGCGCCCTAAGGGGCTCAGGGCGAGCTGCTTCCCACACCCCTCGAATCACTACGGGCACTGCGCGGGGCTGGGGTAGACGCGGGGTCCGCGGGGTGCGGGCGGCGTAGAAGTAACTCGCAGCTCTACCGCCTGGCCCGCAGGTGTACGCCACCGTGACGGTGAAGCCCTCCAGCCCCGCGCGGCTGCTCAAGGTTGGAGCCGTGGTCCTCATTTCCGGGGCGGTATTGCTGCTCTTTGGGGCCATCGGAGCCTTCTACTTTTGGAAGGGGAGCGACAATCACGTAAGTCCAGTGGGCGGCGCGCAGGGCTGGAGGCTCCCGGGGCCGGGAGGCGCACAGGGTAGCGGGGTCCTCTCTGTCACCCCCATGTTCCCCCCTAGGCGGAGCCAGAGCGCTGATTGGCGCCGCGGCCCGGGCTACGGCTCTCCGCTGGCCGCTCGCCCTCTCTGCCCCCGTTTCTGTCTCTCTCTCCATCCTACCCGGGCACCTTCGCCCTTCTTCCATCCTACTCCGCGATCCTGTTTTCTGCTCATAGGCAACTTTGTAGAAAAGCAGGTCAAGGTTTTAAAGGATGGTGTCAAAACATAGAGTAGCGGAAAATACCGTGGACTGTTGGAGGAAAGCCATTCTCAGCCAATCTCGGCCTGGAGCTTCCACTAAGCAGCTGTGTGACCGTGGCTAAGGCACGGCATCTCTCTGGCCTCAGGTTACTCATCATTAAAGGAAGAAGTGGAACTACATAATTTCAAAGGCCTCTGCCAGCCAAGAAAGGCTGTGAGTGTAAGAACCTAGGACAAAGATAAACAAACCCCAAATCCATTGCCCGTTTCGACTCATGGAGACCCCTTGCGCATCGGAGTAGAACTGCGCTGCACAGGATTTTCTTGGCTGTAATCTTAGGGAAGCAGATCCCCAGGCCTATCTTACGCTATGCCACAGGATGGATTCAAACCGCCAACCTTTCGGTTAGGGGAAAAAAAAAAACCAAACTCACTGCAGTAGAGTCAATTCCAACTCATAGTGGCCCTACCCAAGGACAAAGATAGGGGAGGAATATTCGGAGTCAGTAATTGGAGAGGAATATGATCTTTCAGGAAGTTTTTGTTTGTTTTGTGACCCCTCCATCAACGCTCCCTTCTTTCTTGCTGTTTAAAAAAAAAAAAGGTCTACCTTCCTTAAAGGTGGTAAATCGTGTTTAAAAATCAATTCTGGCCTAGTCACATATGATTTAGTGGTAAATGTTTCACTAACTGCTGTGCTACTTTCTTTGTATGCAACTATTTATTTTAAAACTCCACAGGCCTCTCAAGAAGTATAAAAACTGCTTCTAACTTTACTGGGCAGAATTCCAGTGTGTTCTCTAAATACTCCAAATTTTGTTCGCCTATGTGGAAGGGACATTTTATCTTGATGACCACTTGCCAGGTCTGGTATAAGCTTATTTCTACTAATGGAGAAGAATTCCATTTCGACGGCCCACACAAAGGGCTGTTTCTTAATCACTACCCTCGGAGGATCTGTGACTGCTCTTTTCTTCCCCCTCTCTCCCCCATCATGAAATTCAAAGCATGAACGAATTCCAGTACTTAGAGAAAATGGTGCTGAAAGCAACGCAACCATTTTACACATCACATCTTCTGCAGTCACCGCATAATTTGTATTTTTAACTCAAATGCCTAATGTAGATAAGCATGCCATTTAGCACTGAGACTATATAAAATTTGCAAGCACCGATTTGTAAGATCAGAATTGCACAGTATTTTGTGTATATTTGAAAAGTGCCTTAATGTATTTGTATTTTAAATATAGAAGCTGGGCCAGATGCTCATATCTGAAAGCAGCAAATCTGAACATGAGAACCGATGTCAATATCTATATCTCCACTAATAGTGGAGTTTAGGTTGTCATCCCTTTGGGGAATTTTGTGGTATTGGAATGTAAATGGTATCCTTCCGATGACAAAGCCTCAATAGGTCATTTGGGGACAAAAATAGCTTTGCTTTTGGGGGAAGTAAGGATTTTGGTCATGATACATATTAAAATAAATACCATGTGGCATTTAACTATTCCAGGCAAACATAGCTAACTGACAAGCTTCTAGAAAGAGAGATTGAACGATCACACTGAACAAGTGGGACTCCCTTTGTATTTTTTACTTTACTGCAAGATGGTTAGTTGTCTAGTTCAAAAGAGCAGTATTAAATTCTAAAAATACAGAGGAATAGTGAATCACATTTTATTGCCGACAATCAAAGTCTTTTCTATACAAGCAGAAGAATGAAGGAAATCATGGTCTTTTTTTCCCAAAAAAAAATCTCTGATGCTGATTCACAATACTTAAGTCTGAAAAACATATCACAAAATGCCAAATAGAGTAAATTTGGCACTATCTATGCATAGCACATGCACGAGTCTGCTTTTCCTGAACACAAATCTAAATAACCCAAGTAAAACAGAATCAAAAAAGGTAAGTCTCTGTCAAACAGAAAGACGTCCCCGAACCGAATGGATTATCCATTCTTCGGGGATTATCTGTGCATCTGCTCCTTATATTGGTTTATAGAGGAGAACCAGCAGTAATTCACCTCCTATCCCTTTCATGTGGGTAAATCCCCCTAGAACTGGTTCACTTGAATTTAGTTGGAAGACGATGAAGCATCGAAGTCCTAATAATTGGGGGACAATTGACTGGGCTCAAATATTGAAGCCATTTTTCACCCATATTATTGTAAATGGAACAAGGCATTGAAATACGGGAAATTCCCACCAATATGAAATAACCAACAACCCTACCGTGTGGGGTAAGGGGATGAGATCATTGCCTGTTGCCTTTCTTCTCAGATGGCTTTTTCTAGACATTTTTTGCAAACATTCTGTAATTAATCATATAGAACCCAGGCATTATTAAAAACTCATTAGCAAATGTCCTTGGTTGTAAAAGGTGCCATACTGAGCAGAATTTTGGCAACTATAAACTTCATTGTATTTGGATAGCCTGAGGTGCCAACTGTTCCTTCGGCTGAGAGTAGATAATGTGATTGCCTCTCCTCCAGCCCAGCCTCCTCCTGAGCTCTCCAAGCCCAGAACTTTGTAAACAACAGCTGACTGGCCACCCGTTGATTCAGGAGGGCACAAACCTCTCGTTGCTGCCCCCTGCAGGTGGTGCACTGCTATCAAATATGGGCTGAAGCTACATCATTACAAAGGATGCAATACCTACCTAGTTGGGAGCCTTTGCTTGCGGGGAGGGAGGTAGTTCCTGGGTGGTACAGATGGTTAATGCACTCAGCTGCTAACTGAAAGGTTGGAGGTTCCAGTCTACCCAGAGGTGCCTTGGAAGAAAGGCCTGGTGATCTACTTCAAAAAAATCAGCCATTGAAAACCCTGTGGAGCACAGTTCTACTCTGACACACATGGGGTTGCTATGCATCAGAGTTGACTCAATGACAACTGGTACTGGTTTGTTAGCAGGGAGGTGGTGAAGGGTGGTGGTGGAGGAAAGTGTAGTTACAGGCCACTCTCCTATTACAATCTCTGCTTCTTAAAACACGCTGAGAATTTAGAAATCGTTCATTTCTTAAGTTTTGCACAGCTTTACTAGTAAATGCTTACGTGCAATGCTTCAAAGGGAAGAGCTTCTTGCCTTCCGAGTGAAGGACACCCGAGCCAGCAGGAACTCACACGGTGCTGTCTGCCACGCTCCCTTTGACAGTCATAATTAACCCATGTGAACAGTGGCCTCTCAGAGAGCACAGGCACAGAACAGAGCCTGCTTTCTAAACCTTACCTGCAGAAAGCACGTCTCAGCCAAAGAAAACAGGTTTCCCAAGCTTCTGTGATCGTAAGGACCACCTGAGGTGCAAAGTGAAAACAGATTGGTGGGCTGTGCTCCAGCTCTGCTAAATCAGAACTCTAGAAGCGGTTCTGATGATTAGGCAAGTTTGAGAGAATCTAAGTTCATCAGACAGGAGTCGTGGGGTGCAGTGGTTAAGCACTCAGCTGTTCACCAAAGGTCGGCCATTCAAACCCACTAGCCACCCCACAGAAGGAAGATGTGGCAGTCTGCTTCTGTAAAGATTACTGCCTTAGAAACTCTACGGGGCAGGTCTACTCTGTCCTATAGACTTGCTATGAGTTGGAATTAACTCGATGACAGTGGGTTTGGTTTGGTTTGGTTTTTTGGAAGTTCATCAGAAGAAGGGGAGTAGAGGCAGTGAGAGATGTCTGAGCAGAAATAACCAGTTGCCATCGAGTTGAAGCTGACTCATGGTGACCCCACATGTGTCAGAGTAGATCTGTGCTCCACAGGGTTTTCAACGGCTGATTTTTCAGAACTAGAACACGAGGCCTTTTTTCTGAGGTGCCTCTGGGTGGACTCGAACCTCCACCCTTTTGGTTAACTATTTGTACCATCTAGGGATTCCTTGAGCGGAAATAGGAGGCCATTATTTTCCATTCTGCTGAATGAATGCTGGTGCTTCAAAGGCTACTGGAGAGCAAAACCATTTCTATATCTCTGCTGAGAAAATAAAACAGGGCTTTGTGGATCTTGTAATAATGAGTTTTCTGCAAGTAATGATCCAGTAACAAGAGACACTTTTTCCACTGTTTGTCCGTGGAGCAGCCATTTTTCATAATGAGGGAGAAAAATCAGACTTGAATTGAAGCTGAGCCATTCGTAGCTCTGACCTACTGACCTGACATTGAGGGGCCACTGTCTTTCACCAGTTCTTACCCCTCCCCCTTGAAAGATCTGTATGCCTCTAAGCCAGGGGTGGGGAAGGAAAGAGAAGATACCCGCCCAATACCCCCACGACACACAGAAAGATCTGGCAGGGCAGCACACCATCCTATTTTCTTCTGCAGTTTGCAGGAGCAGCATACAAATAACTTTTTTTTTTTTTTTAACCAGTGCCCTAACAAGATGTCTAAGCTAGGAGAGGCCCTTTGAATCATCTAATTTAGTGGTAAACTTAAAAATAAAGAAATTAAAAAGTGACCAGATTTTTTGTTCTAACACAATCTAACTCAGAAATCTAACACATAAAACAGATAAAAAGCAGAGCCACTGTGGTTGGACTGTGAGTGGACAGGGCAGAAAGGAGCCTCCGAGTTCCTCCTGCTCTCTCTGACCCTCGCCTCTGGGCCACCCCATGAAACCTCAGAGCTCTGGGGACATAGATGAAAACCACCTATGAGGTCCAACATCTTCATTGTCCGCTCAAGGCAACTCCCCAGACCCAGGGGGTTAAGTGGCGTGACTGAGTGGTCTTCTGATTCCTGGACCAGTGCTTTCTCCACAAGGCTAATTCCCTCCCCGCCCCCCACCCCCCACACACATACGCCCCACGTCTCATTATAACAAAATGTCCTATCACACAATATGCCTGTCCTCTACCAGAAAAAACAAACCCATTGCCGTCAAGTCGATTCCGACTCGTAGCGACCCTATAGCACAGAGTCAAACTGCCCCATAGGGGTCTCCAAGGCTGAAATCTTTACAGAAGCAGACTGCCACATCTTTCTCATGTGGAGTGGCTGATGGGTTCGAACCATAGACCCCTTGGTTATCAGCTGAGTGCTTCACCACAGAGCCACCAGGGTTCCTTGCCTGTCCCACAGAGTCATTAAAATGAGAAACTCATTTTGAGCTGGAACGCACGTGCACATCGACCTTGCTGTCTCCAAACGCCGCTCTGCATCAGGTACGTCAGCGCTGTCTGCAGTCTTTACTACAGACCACGCTCCATGCTTACTCTGAACCAAACGATTAAAAAACTTTTCAAACAAAGGCGCCACTGCAGTCCAGTTCAGGTAACAGCCCAGTTAACCCTGTGCCTCCCCAGTTTCCGTTTACCTATCAATGGTCTCACCCTGGCTGCGCAGGAGAATTGAGCTTTAGAAAATACCTATGTCCAAGTCCCATCACCACCACCCCGCCCCCCCCAAAAAATACACTTGCCATCAAGTCGATTCCAACTCATGGCGACCCTATGCGGGTCAGGGTAGAACTGTACTCTATAGGATTTTCAATGGCTGTGACCTTTGGGAAGCAGATCTCCAGGCCTTTCTTCCGAAGTGCCTCTGGGTGGAGGTGCCTCTAGGTGGATTCGAACTGCCAGCCTTTCAGTTAGTAGCCACACTTAACTGTTTGTGTTACTTAGGGACTCCAGTACTACCCCCAGAGGTTATGATTTGATTGGTCCAGGGTGATGAAGCCTGGGCATCATCACTGAAAATTCGACCAAGAAACTTCTAATGCGCAGCCAGGATTGCGGGTCACTGAGCTATTTGAATACATATCAGAGAGTACCAAAGGTTTTACTTTTAAGGTATTTTTTAAAATCCCTGTATTAAATGACTAGTGTATGGATGAAGTCCTGGTATATTAATGTATTACTGTTAAGGATGCTTCAGTGTATCTCTGAAAACTGTCTTCTATACTGGAGGTCTAAAGATAAGTTGAATTGCTCAAAAAAAAAAAAAAGCATCACTAACTATTATGCTCCCTTCCAGATTTACAATGTCCATTACAGCATGAGCATCAATGGGAAATTACAAGATGGGTCAATGGAAATAGATGCTGGGAACAACTTGGAGACCTTTAAAATGGGAAGTGGAGCTGAAGAAGCAATTGAAGTTAATGACTTCCAGAACGTAAGTCTGTTTCATGCATTTAGAGAGTTTAACCAGGCAAGCCTGGGGGACTTTTCTATTTCACAGAGAAGCAGCATCTTTCACACACCTCCATGGCACTGAAAAGAGTAGGTTCTTTTTGGAATTATGTAGTGTCTTGGCAGAATGACTTCGAATCCATTTTTTTCTAATGCTGTGAATAAAATGCTCAAACGATCCTGGAACATTGCAAAGTCTGAATGTTGAACTTCTAGAGGGGAGAAAAATCTTAATGACCCGGTAGTCTCATTGACATCCGATGGGATCTATTTACATACTTTTCTCAATTCTTCTGATCTCCCATTTAATCCAGAAAATCAGCATGGAGAAATTTCCTTATTATACCATATGTTTTCTAACCATGGCCTATTATAGATAAAACATTTGCGTCTCCTGTGGAAAGGGCAAATATGTTTGTCTATTTGTTTTTTACAAAAATCCAATTTACAGGCAATTTGAGACATTAAGTTGTGTATCTGTGCTTCCGTGTACATCTGCAAACCAAAATGTCACGCCAGGCCTTGTTTACTACTAGCCCGCCAACAAAACCAACCAGTTACCGTCAAGTTGACTCCAACTCATGGCAACCCCGTGTGTGTCAGAGTAGAACTGTGCTCCATAGGGTTTTCAGTGGCTGATTTTTCAGCAGTAGATCACCAGACCTTTCTTCTGAGGAGCCTCTGGGTGGACTCGAACCTCCAGCCTTTCAGTTAGCAGTTGAGTGCATTAACCATTTGCACCACCCAAGAACTCCTTGTTGGCCCACATAAGTATCTTATTTTCTTTCATATTCTAAGATGAGGAAGAGCATTACTATTTGTATCCTCACATTAAATCTGTAGGAGTAGGAGAGACTTCTTATGAAAAAAGCCTCCTGAAAACAAGGTCCCTTCTGACTGGCATACAAACATCGTATTGACCCATCTCCCTCCAACTGATGGGAAAAACTGGGGATGAATTTCATTTGAAGTGTACGAAAACACACTTCACAAGTCCTTCTGAATACTAAACAGATACTAACATTGGAGCACTGGTGATACCTGGTAGTATTTGATGATGAACGAAGACTGGCTATGTTCAGAGCAGTCGGGGACAGGCTCTGAAGTCCTGTATGTGGGTCACCGCACCTACTTTAGTCAGAGCTTTGCAATTGGTTCCGGTCAGTGCACAAGTATAATTTCTCTGGACGTCTTAAAGGCTTTTACTGCAAAACCCAGGACAGAACATCATCAGTTTTTTTCTTCGTACTGTTCAATATAAACTCATAAAAGGTAACTCCCCCGACACCTCATTCAATCCAGGAAAAAGCTGAATACCTATGACATGCCACAGCATCAAGATATGCAAAGGAAGCTATGAAGACTTGGAAAAAAAAAAGGTCCGTCCCTCTCAAAATATTCATGTATCAGGAATAAATATACCATTAAAATATTTTAATCCCAGACCTATATTTCTGTTTTATAATCCTTTGGCTCTTTCTAATAATGGTATTGATTGTGTTTTGTTCTCAGAGGCCAGCAGGGCCACAAATATTTTATAAACTGATCGATTCTCTTTGATAGCTTCCACATTTCTCTAAGTCAGAACTGGTGAGTAGAACATTTTTTTGATGGATAGAACCTGTTATGGGTTTAAACAAGCCTGGGCCTTTGAAAACACATGAATTAGTCACCACGGTACTTGTGCTATTACTTGTTCCCGTACTTTAAATCATCACATTCAAGAAGCATTTTATTGAGGCCTACTATGTGTAAGGGACCTTGCTAAGGGGGATGCAAAGATGACTGACACTGGTACCCCGACCTCAGGGGCCTTACAGTCCAGTGCAGGAGAGGAACATGCACACTGGAGGGGTTCAGGTCGGCCTGGGAAGCCTGCTGCAATGGATGGGTGAACAGAGTGCCCTGGGAGCACAGAGAGGGGGCACTCACTTCCAATTAGGGGGCTAAAGACAGTTTCGCAGAGGTGGTGGCAATTGACTCAGGTCTTGAAGAATGATTAGGATTTCAACTGGCAAGAGACAGGGGGCTGGGCATTGCAGGCCCAGGGGAGAATAATGAATACAAGTGTACAGGTCTAGTGGGAAGTCCTAAGTAGCCCAGTGTGGCTGGATGTGGGTGTATTCGTTTCCTAGGGCTGGTGGTGCAACGATTAAGCCCTCAGGTGCTAACCGAAAGGTTGGTAGTTTGAACCCACTCAGCGACTCTGTGGGAGAAAGACCTGGCATTCTGCCCTCATAAAGATTACAGCCAAAAAAACCCCTGTAGGGCAGTTCTACTTTGTCACGTGGGGTTGCTACGAGTCTGAATCAACTCAACAGCATCTAACAACAATAACAGGGCTGCCGTAACAAAGTGAGTGCCTTAAAACAACAGAAATTTATTGTCTCTCAATTCTAGAGGCTAGAAGTGCAAACTCAGGGTGTTGGCAGGGCCGTCATCTCTCTGATGTCTCTAGGGGAAGATCCTTTCTTGTCTCCCCCAGCTTCTGGCAGCCCCATCCATTCGTTGCCTTGCAGACGGATCTTTACATAACCATCCTTCCCCTGTGTCTCTTCTCCTCTTTTATAGGGACACCCACAGCTCCGATGGGATCAGGACCCTCCCTACTCCAGTATGACCTCATGTTAACTGATAGCATCTCCAAAGACCCTGTTTCCAAACAAGGTCATGTTTGTAGGTACCAGGGGTTAGTTCTTCAACATATCTTTTTGGGGAACACAATTCAATCCGTAACAGTGGGGAAGGAGAAGAGATGGGGTGGTAGGTAGGGCCAGATTATGACAGGCTCTGAATAGAAGGTGAACGATCCCCTCTGTTAACCTAAGACCCCACGAAGGTCTTAGCAGAGCCCAGTGGAGAAGGAACTTCCTGAGGGGGAATAGCACTGAGCCACACGCTCCATGCTCTATACTTTGAGCAATTAAAAAACTAGGTCACTTCATAGTGTATGTGTTACATTTAAGAGGGTCACACCTTCCCAAGCATCAGTGCTGTTGGTTGAAACCAACCCTCTCAGACCTACCAGTACCAGTTGCCACGGAGTTGATTCCAACTCATGGCAATCCCACGTGTGTCAGAGTAGAACTCTGCTTCATAAGGTTTTCAATGGCTGGTTTTTCAGAAGTAGATTGCCAGGACTTTTTTCCAAGGCACCCCTAGGTGGACTCGAGCCCCCAATCTTTCGGTTAGCAGCTAAGCATGTTAACTGTATCATCTAGGGATTCCTGTCACACCTAACACTCCATTTATATAACAAAAACTCTGATTTGACATTAAAAGAATAGATGGAAAAATGTGGAAATGGATAAATGGTGATGGTTGAACAACATGATAAACATAGTGTCATTGAATTGTACATGTGAAGAATGTTGAAATGGCAACTCTTTTGTTGCATATACACTCACCACAATTTAAAAAATGGGGGGAAAAAAAGAATAAACTGGTGGGCATATGTGTGTTCCTGGTACAATTCTTTTAACTTTTTAAATGTTTAACAATTTTAATTTTAAACTGGAAGAAAAAAAGGATAGCATCTAGTGGATATGTAAGTTATTGATTTCAAAAATCAATATAGTCCCCAAGTATCACATAAAGAAAAAATAAAATGAAAGTAATTCATAATAAAATATGGACTTCAATATGTAAATGCTCAACATGACGTGCTAGAAGACGTAATAAAGTCATACACTTAGGGCAGAGTTGAATCACTGTCAATGCCCCAGCCCAACAATGCAGACTGTCACGTGTGTGCAGGCAAATTAAATGTCACATAATGTTCCTCAAACAGTGAACAATTCTTGGTAAAATTTCAGACAAAACAAAGTACCATTTTCTCTCAATTTTCACAGTAATTGCATTCCTAGGAAATTCATTTGTCAAATAAAAAAATAAATCTGAACTTAGGTAGGGAGAGGCTTTATTTAGAAAGAAGGACTATTCCAAGGGAGTTGGGGAAGACTTACAACAGGGGAGGAGTCTATTGAAACAGGGTGTTCGCTCTGACAGTAAGATCAGTGAGCCTCTCAAGAGTTAGGCAGAAAGGGTTTTTCTTTTATAAAGACAAAAGTAAACACGGCTAGAAAAAACCAGGTGTGGAAAAGTGGGATGAGAGCGTGACACGATCAAATAGTAAACCAGAGAAGGTTTTAAGCTGAGGTCAGCCCATTCTCTGAGTGGGGTCCTTGAGGAGGGGTAGGAGGGCCAAAGTTCAGGACTTGGGGAAAGGGGAGAAGATTAACCACAGTTTGGTTAACAAGCACTTTGTTTCTGATTGATCAGTGGGGGCAAGCAATTCAATTAATCATTTCTGAGGCAGGGAATGGGGATTTGGAGGGTCTGTGTCTCGCCGTGTCACAGGTACACAAGGGGCCATCTGTGAGTCTTATCTATGTCATATGGGAAGCGTGGTTCTTTGCGGTAAGATGTTTTCCTGAACATAGAGTGGGGGGAATTCTTTAACCATTGCTGTTTTCCAGGATCAGAGGGTTCAGATAAAATTCAGCATTGTCACGTTAAACATTAAAACCATGCCAAAAAATCATTACTTGTTTATATGCAAAACAGTGCCAGGTTCTAGGTGCAGATAATTATAAATAGGTTTTTCATGCAGGACCCAGGACAGTTGGTTCTTTGGGACTGCCCCAGGTTTGGGGGACCTGGCATCCCTGAGTCCTGCCCAATAAAAGCCAAGAGTGCCCTCAGTCTGTGTGACAACAAAAAACTCCCTCAGAGATTTCTAAAGTACCTCCTTCAGGGCTGGACCCTCTGCCCACCTTGGGAACCTCTGGTTTAAGCCATGAAAATAGATGAGCTCACACGGGGGGAATATGCAGCTAAGGTGAGACTACCAGTACCAGTACCACTGCCTGTTGAGTCGACTCCAACTCATGGTGACCCCATGTGTGTTAGAGTAGAACTGTGCTCCATAGAGTTTTCAACACTGGATTTTTTTGAAGTAGATTGCTAGATTACCCTTTCTTCCAAGGGGCCTCAGGATGGACTCAAACTGCCAATCTTTCAGTTAGTAGCTGAGTGCATTAACCATTTGCACCACCCAGGGACTCCAGGAAGAGACTACGTGGCTGTTTTGATAAAAGAATATTGGATCATTGGAACCTTCACCCATTGTCTTTGTTAGCAAATTTCTTCATTATCACCAGCTTCTAAGGTCTTGTTTGATTCTAAAAACACTAGATTTGCTTGGCTTTCTGGTGCTTTTTTTAATTCCCTCTGTTTAATCTCTTAATATATCTGGCTGCTTGATGTGAACTTGTAGCCAGACATGGTGGTGAAAAGGTGTGAAATCCTTCCTCCAGGTGCCATCCCTATGGGGCTTCAGTTCTCTCTGCTGTGTGTAGACCCTCAGCTCTAACTCAATACTAGATTCGCATTTGGGGATGTAAATCCTTCAGTAGAATCAATTCTCTCCTTTGGGTATATGGCGATGGTTATAAACTGGTTCCTCCCTCATGCATCTCACTTTCAGAGGATATGAGGGTTTGAAGTTAAGAGAACAAATCACAGGGAGAAGCAGTAATCTCCCTCCCCTGCTTTCTGATTTTCAAACACTGAGTCCTAGATTACATCAGAATAAGAGCAGTAGCCGGTGGAGGATTGCAGAGTAGAGAGCAGTGGTTCTCCAAGTATGCTCCTCAGGCCGCTGAGGCAGCAGCACTTGGGAGCTTGTTAAAAATGAAAATTGTTGGGCCCCATCCCAGACCTACTGAATCATAAACTCTAGGGGGTGGGATCCAGCATTCTGTTTTATTTAACCAGCTCCAGGTGATTCAGGAGTGCCTGGGTGGTACAGACAATTAGTATGGTGAACTGCCAATCGAAAGGTTGGAGGTTTGAGTCCCCCAGAGGTGCCTTGGAAGAAAGGCCTGGTGATCTGCTTGCAAAAAATCAGTCATCGAAAACCCTGTGGAGCACAGTTCTACTTTGACACACATAGCGTTGCCATGAGTCAAAATCAACTCAATGGCATCCGGTTTGCAGGTGATTCTGATGCAAGGTCAAGTTTGTGAACGACAGGTATAGAAGAGTGGGGTGCTGCAATTGAGATTAGACACTTGGGTCCAGTGGCTAGTTCTGTCATTTGAAAGCTTTATAACCCTGAACAAATTTCTTTTCTCCCTAAACTGGTGGTCTCAACCCTGGCTGGATATTGAAACACCTGTGGGAGCTTTTAAGAAAACCAGTGCCTGGGCCTCACCCCAGGCCAGTTACAGGGGGAGGAGCCCAGGCATCTCTGTTTTTAACATCTCCCCAGGTGATCCACAGTGCCAGCTGAGAACCTCTGCAGTAAGCCTCGGTGTTTCTCCTCCTAAAAGCAGGAGTAACGTCACTCCTTTTACTGGTGTTGGGAGAAATAAGTGATATGAGTGATCTAGGTGTACCTGGCCCACTAGGCCACAAGGCAAATAACATGTAGCTTTAGGAAAAATGAGCTTTTCCTTCTCTGTTCTCTGGCCTGGTACCCATTCAGTTTCTGAGGGCTCCTGGCCTGAGATTACATATGATACAACTTTCCATGAATATCCTGAAGAATGACTTACATTTAACTTCATTCTTCATTTAATAGTGCTGAATCCTGAGCCAGGACCCCAAGATTTCTAAGTGCTTTCCCCACCTCCATCCCTTAGCTCTGACCCTGGAACCAGTTCTGCGTCTTCCCAACACTTGTCTCAACCCAACAGAAGACTGACAAGGTTCAGAATTGTGTTGGTGTCTTCATTATTATTGCATAGAATTTGTAGGCCTTGAATACTATTTTTGGCCACTCACTAGTCATGAAACTAACCTGCCAGGGGATATAAAACACTCTTGGGACAGAAGCTACTGTTATTCCTGATGCCCTTTGTGTGGCTAAAACCAGTGTCAAGCTGTCAGCCAAGACTGAAGCTTTGTGGCTGATAATTTCCTTGAGGTTGGTCCCTAGGCAGACAAGAAACAGACACTATTTGTGTCTCACAGGGGACAAAGACAAAGCATCCAAGCCTTTGAGTAAGGTCTAGGAGCAGAGTTAAGCTCCTGGTGCTGTAGAAAGCTTTATTATTTACTCTAAGCTTGGAAACTTAAGAAAATTCCGAGTTCATGGAATTAATTTGACCAACATTTTAGAGAACATATGTGGGATCACAAGAATGGAAAGAAGGGAGGGAGGGAGGGAGGAAGGAAGGAAAGACTCAGATACTGATCTCAAGAAACTATAATTGAGTAGGGAGATGACACTCATAAGCAACTGCAATGTAGGCAGTATAGACTAAATGCCAAATAAGTGATGAAGACAGGAGGGCTTATAGGAAAACAGAGGAAGGAGAGCACATTTAGACTGGGATGGTCAGAGAAGGCTGCATGGAAAAGGTGGCATTTCCAGAACAGAATTACAAATTCTCATGGAATCCAGATGCCACTGCCCTTGCCAGCACTTATCACACCCTGACATTATATTTTATCTATTTTTTATTATTAGAAAACTATTGCCCTGAGATAATCTTTAAACCTTAAACCAAAAATATCCCCTGAAGTCTTCTTAAACCCAAATAGTTTAGCTTAACTAGTAAAGAATGTCTGCCTAGAGCGTGGTGCTCTTTTAAGATCCATCTATATGGGATCAAACTGACAATAGCAACTCAAAAGATTAGATGGGAACCATAGGCGGCAGTGAGTTTATGTCAGTGATGGAGGAACAATTCAGAAAAGGAGCTTGAGAATGGTTGCGTAACAGCAGAATGTAATCAATGTCACTGAATTGTACATACAGAAACTGTTGAATTGGTATATGTTTTGCTGTGTATATTCTCAACAACAAATAAATTATAATAATAAAAAAAGGTGCCATTTCATCTGGACTCTCAGGTCTCAGCTCGAATGTCCCTTCCTCCTAGAAGGCCTTCCCTGACCACACTATCTAAAGTAGCATCCCTTGTCATTCTATCCTTGTCCCCTGCTTTATTTTTCTTCAATAGCACTTATCATGGTTGTTGTTAGCTGCCATTATGTTGGCCCTACACTCATGGCAACCCCAACACACCAGAGTGAAATGCTGCCCAGTCCTGTGATCAGTTGCAGATTAAATCTGGGTTTTTTTGTTTTTTGGTGAAAATATACAGTCATACACCATTGCAACAATTTCTATATGAAAAACTCAGTGACACTGATTACATTCTTCAAGTTGTCCAAATATTCTCACCATCCTTCTCCAAATTGTCCCACCACATTGACTTAAACTGTTCCCTAAGCTTCTCAACTAACCTTTGGAGTTGCTGTTATCAATTTTATCTCACTTAGATAATTCTCTAAAAGAGCTCAATTCTCAAGGCAGACGTACTTATTAATGTATTTTTTGGTTCAAAGATTTCAGGGGATAGCTTTGGTTTAAAGTTTAAAGATTGTCTCAGGGCAATAGTTTTGGGGGTTCATCTAGCTCAATAGCTCCAGAAAGTCTGGATTCCACTGACAATTTGAAATTCTGTTCCATATTCTCTCCCTTTTGATCAGGATTCTGCAAGGGTTTTCACTGGCTGATTTTCAGAAGTCATCCTGCCTTTCCCCCTAGTTCGTCTTAGTCTAGCTCTGCTGAAACCTGTTCAGCATCAGAGCCACATGCAAGCCTCCACTGACAGATGGGTGTTGGCTGTGCATGAGTTCCACTGGCTGGGAATTGAACCCGGGTCTCCCACGTGGAAGGTGAGAATTCTACCACTGTTCACTACCCTGACTTTATATTTTATCTGTTTTTTATTATGGGCAAATAATGTTGAAATATAAGTTCCATGAGGGCAAGGATTTTATGTTTTGTTTATCCACAAACACACACCTGGACCAGTGCCTGGCACACAGTAGACCCTCAATAAGTTGAATAAATGAAAAGATGGATAGATGGATGGATCCATTTTTATTTTGCAGGGCATCACAGGAATCCGTTTTGCTGGAGGAGAGAAGTGCTACATCAAAGCACAAGTGAAGGCTCGCATTCCTGAGGTGGATACCATGACCAAGCAGAGCATCTCCTCCGAACTGGTGGGTACCAGCATGCCAGAGACTGTGAGAGGGTTGGTAGACATCCTTTGAAGGCACGACCCCTTTGGCCTCTAGTTCCCAGACAGGTGTGCGTTCGTAACAGAACTTCTATTTCTTCCCTGCCAAAGGAGTGTAAACTGTTTTTGTTCTGTTGTTAGGTGCCATCTAGTCAATTCTTACTCATATTGACTCCATGTGACAGGGTAGAACTGCCCCATAGGGTTTTCTTGGCTATAATCTTTAGGGAAGCAGATTGCCAGGTCTTTCTCCCATGAAGCTGCTGTGGGTTGGAACTGCCAACCTTTTGGTTAGCAGCCAAGCATTTAACTGTGCCACCAGGGCTCCTTGTCTTTGTCCTACTGGTCCAAAAACTCTATTTCCAAAAGATTTTTATTACATGTAGTATTTTTTAGTGTTTTGAGAAACCATATTTTAAAGTGCATAATGAGGTGTGGTCCTCACATGGCCCTTGTTTGCATGACGTTAGAGAAGTTTCTGATCAGTGATTTGGACAACAGAAAAGACTCTACATGATAGAATCTTCCTTCCAGGCTGGGTCCTACTCAGTGTGTGCATTCCTACTGCACAGTCCCTCAAAGCAGATCGCCCAGCCTCTGCTGGACTCTGCCAGCAACAGGGCACTCACTCTTCTGTCGGCCACTGGCATGGGAGTAGCTCCAATTGCTTTGTTCTACATTGAGCTGAGATGGCTCCCCCTACAGGATCTCCCCATTGGTTCAAGTTCAGCCCAACGAAGCTATACAGGTTGTCCCTGACTTACGACGGGGTTCCATCCCAATGACTTCGTTGTCAGTTCTGATGTAAGTCAAATACTTTAAGTTTTCATAGCCTGCTATACGGCAGTGTTTTGAACAATAAATCATAGTATTGAACTCTTCAAGCGAACATCTGAGAATGATAACATTAGCAAATTACATGCTGCAACACTGTATGTAGTACATATTACTAACTATAAGATGTACAAAAGAAAACAAAAGATGGTTGTAAGTGTGGCAAATATGTTGTAAGTTGGGGACTACCTGTACTTCCTTTTCCATATATCAAACCTGTTTTTTTTTTTACATAGTTCATTTATTATTAATAATGTCTCTGAACTTAATTTTTTAAACATTTAAGAATTGTACCCAATTCTAAAGACACATTTGACAATAATACCTTACAATTTTATGATACTTTATTATTTACCAAGTGGTCATATTCCTTATCTTCTTCCATTTGAATCGTGGCATGGCAGGATAGGAAGAAAATGGACTTTGGAGTCAGAAAAACGTGGGTTCAAATTCCAGCTCTGACACTTGCTATGGATGTGGCTTCAATTCTTTGAGCCTCAGTTTTGTCATCTGAAAACTGGGGGTATGCCTTATGTCTTCACGGCCCTAGAACCTACTAAAGGATGAATAAATGGTAGCTTCTATCATTATTGTTAGCTTCTATCATTATTGTTACTTTTATTATGATCACCTTTGATCCTTCCAGCATCGCTAAGAGGGAGGTCAAGTATCATCTCCCTCAGGGAAAAGACACAAAAATTGAGTAAACAAACATGAGTGTTTGCCTCCATAGGAGCAACAGCAGCAGGTGTCTCAAAACAAAAACAACAAACCTGGGTGGTTTTTAAGCTGGCTATTTTGTCCTATTTGCTCTTTTCTAGTCTGTTTCCCCAGCCATTCATCCTTTGAGATGTTTTCCAGATCTGCTTGTTCCAGTCACTCTCCTCTGATCATACGCCTGTTTGTCACTGTTCCTCATGAGCTATGCCACTCAGAATGGCACGCCATACTCTCAGTGTGAACTTAACAATAACCCACTGCTGTCGAGTCTGTTCCGACTCACAGTGACCCTATAGGACAGAGTAGAACTGTCCCGTAAGGTTTCCAAGGCTGTAATCTTTATGGAAGCAGACTGCCAAATCTTTCTCCCGTGGAGTGGCTGGTGGGTTCCAACCGCCGATATTTCGGTTAGCAGCTGAGCACTTAATCACTGGGACCAAGACCTCCTGTATTCTGACCTTTGAACTTCTCTGACTGCAGTCATATCCCTCAGTTCCTGTTATGAAGCTTTTAGTGAACTCTAATCCTTGGCATTTTCCCCATACCTGGCCAATGAACTAGTTCTCCTCTCCCCCCTCCCAAAAGGACCTGCTTCCCAACCACAGCTGACCTAGATCTAACCATAGGTTTGCAGCACATTTTCTGTATTGTTTTAAATACTTTTTTCTCTGATTTAAAAAAAACAATACATTGTCATTGTAGAAAACTCAGGAACTATATAAAAGTATAGAGAAGAAAATCACTCATTCTCAATTGCATAATTCACAGATAACTAATGTTAACATTTTGGTGAATTTACTCCGTGTGTGTGTATTTGTGTGTGTGTGTGAGAGAGAGAGAGAGACACTCTTTTTATAACTGTTGTATATTCTTGTTTTCACTTAACCTTAGTTCTTCTAAAATAGAGATTATAATGGGAAGTATTATATCTCATCATATGACCCTACCATAATTTTAAAAGCCTTTTATTCTTAAACATTCAGTTATCTTCATGTTTTTCACTGTTTCAAATAATACTGTGGTGAATATTCTTGTATTTAAATCTTTGTCTGCGTCTGATTCCTTTCTTGGGCCTCAGTAGGTGGATTATTTTTCCTGTGTTCTAGGTGTTTATATTGTGCATGACAGACCCTCTGGTGGACAAAAACAAATTCAGACGATATGTTTGTATGAATTAGAAATGTGTTTGGCTGTGAGTAGCAGAAAACTAGGCTTAAAGTGACTTAAATAGGGCTTTTTCTCCACATAAGCAATGTGGAGGGACTCGGCTGTAGGCATGCGTTCAGTGGCCAGCATCTCTGTCATATTCTCAGGCTCTCCTTCCAGCTCCAAACATAAACCATGCGTTCAAGTAAGGGAGAGGTTGAGTAGTGCCACCATGACTTCCCCTTAAATGAGGAAAAGCAGAAGACGCCCCAGCCCCCACAACATACTTCAGCCTGGATCTCGTTGGCTTGAACCTATCTTACACAGTCACCCCTATCTGCTGAAGTCTGAGAAAGCAAGTGTCTCTCCTGAGGCTGGGCACACTGCTGCCTCAACAAAATCAAGACTGCGCTGCAAGGTGAGGGCGGGGGTAGGGGGAAGGAGATTGGGCAAGCAACTGCAAGTATGCACCACAAGATTTAACATTCCTACCCTTGCCAGCTGCATATATATATATATATATATATATACACATATGTATATATGCATTATTCCAAGCACCCCACTCTTCCCCACACACTTTAGATTATGATGGGGTAGGTTTATGCACCACTTGCTCTCATAAATTTTTCATCAGTTTTGTGTAACTTTAAAAAGCTGCTATACCCAAAGAGCATTCATTTCCTGGATGGAGCCATTTAATTTAAGGTAAATAACTGGATGACATGAGTGTTAGCTTCCTCCAGTAACTTTGTTTTAATGCAGCTATAAGCCTGAGGCAGAAAGCATAAATGAAATGCTACTTTTAGCTAAAAATGAGAAAACATTTTAATTTCTCCAACCAATTGCAAACTAATAAATACATGAAAGGAACAACCTGGCAAAAGAATTTGTCTCCTGGGTTATCAAACCATTGTCAGTATCTCGCTGTAGAAGAAAATCCAAGGTTTAGCTTTGAAATCTCAGGGGTGTGCTTGATGCGAAGAACATCTGAAATATTGTTTTGTGAGAGCTGGGAAATGTAGAAATGGTTTATGTTAAACAACACTTTGAACTAAAGACATTAAAGAACCAATCACTTCCTTTTTCCATTGTTGCTTGGAAGCTGCCATACAAAACCCCAAAGGATTTTCACTTCAAATGAAGGGTTCCTCTATCCTTTATAAGATTCTCGGGTCCACTCGACTGCTTTTCCTCAAAAACATCTTTGATCAAAAACATCAGATTAACCTAAATCTCAAAGTTGGTATCAAGTAATTTTCACTTCAACCCAGGACACTCCTGTTCACACATTACAGTTATCCACAGGCAGGGCAGACGTGAAGAGAGCCACAGAGACGAGATTAGAACTTTAAAGTGGTGGGTGTGCACACACACATACACACAGAGTTCTCATTACATTTTTATCAGGCAAAATAATCTTTTTAGCAACACCTGAATCTTAAGACGCAGCATATTGTCCTCTTGCTCAATGTGTTTCGCTTTTATTTACTTACAGGAAGGCAAGATCATGCCAATTAAATTTGAAGAAAATTCTCTGATCTGGGTGGCTGTAGACCAGCCTGTGAAGGACAACAGCTTCTTGAGTTCTAAAGTCTTAGAGCTTTGTGGTGACCTTCCTATCTTCTGGCTTAAGCCCACATACCCAAAAGGTAATATTTTAAATTATCTTAATGCTGCCTGGGTTCAGTGGTAGAATTCTCACTTTCCACGCAGGAGACCCAGGTTCGATTCCTATCCAATGCACCTCATGCGCAGCCACCACCTGTCCGTCAGTGGAGGCTGGCATGTTGCCTTGATGCTGAACAGCTTCAGGAGAGTTCCCAAACTCAGACAGACTAGAAACAAAGGCCTGGCGATCTACTTCTGAAATACAGCCAGTGTAAACCCTATGGATCACATCGGTCTGATCCACAGTTGACCATGGGGATGGCGCAGGAACGGGCGGCATTTCATTCTGGTGAGGTGGGGTCGCCATGAGTCGGAGGCCAACTCGACGGCAGCTAACAACAATGCTGCTGGGAATTCTCCCTTTTTCGTGTGAGGTTCCTATGAGCCCCTCCACACACCACTCACAAGCCCGAGCATGTAACAAGGAAATCAGGATGCACGTTGCAGTGTCTCCTAATTAGCACGACAGATAAAAGACAAGGAAAATCAGAGTACCTGGATGTTTTGCAGAAGGAAAGGGGCAGCGGGGTTAACGGGAGGCAGAGCACCATGGCTTTACCTGAGGTTTTTATTTATGACACTTCCCCTTCTTTCTGCTCTGCCCTTAATCTCAGTTGTTTGCACCTTCCAATTTTACTTCTTTCTTATTCCTAAGGCATAGAATCAAGGGACCAAGAAGCTGTCATATGGCTGGATCTTTATGATGTTCAAACCTAGAATTATGGGACAGCCAAAAGCTGCTGTGGGTATAGGTTGCAATTCCTCAAGTTCAAGGCTTGAGGGCCAGCTTCCAAGTTCCGGTGAAGATAAAAGGGGTCCCTGGGGTTTAGAGCTAGGTTGGAGCATGCCTTTGAGCTATTTCAAGGTGGTGAACCTGATGGGTTTTGCTCTGTCCCCAGGCATTCTCTCACTCTTGATTTCCACTGCAGTCACCACACTGAGTCCCCAAAAGCCTACTTTATAGCTCTGGCTCAAGTGTGCAAAAAGGGGCCTTTCTCCTAGCACAGCTGAGATAGGCTATGTTTTCTGAAAGATTTGACTGAACCCCAATAGAGAGAGCAGCATGGACAGAGAGAAAACTGACAGTGAAACCACCAGACTCAAAGTTCGGGTTTCTGATTCTGCCATGGCTAATTTATTCCTACAGTTCCCAAGTCCTATTATTCTCTAGCCTAGATAAGGCAAATAGGATTCAATCTATAAGCCACTGGCAGTGGCTGCCTGGAACACTGGGTTTAGGATTCTGAGGCCTATGTAGGCTCAGTGAGAAATACCATGATCAGTAAGCAATGTCTGTCACAATTGTAGGGGCTGGTGAGGGGGTTGCCAAATGGGCTGTGCTTTTGCCATCCCTGCTCTAGGCTCCAGTGAGAGGCTGTAACTCAGAATTCTATAGCCACTTGACCAAGTTCTTGCTTTCTGTTCCCTACCTGCCTCCCCACGGAATGGCCCTTGTTTTCCACTCACCAGGAACTACTTCTATAATTCCTTGTCGCCTCTTCCAGTTAAAGACTCAGAGCCTCCAACCCTACTCCCATGGAAAGCTCTCCCTAATCACTTTCTATGAGGATGAGCCTCTTTGAATATAAAGTTCATTCACTCATTTAACAAACCTTTACTGAAAGCCTATTCTGTGCACACACTTGCTCTAGACACTTGGGATGCACAGGTGAACAGAATAGACAAGCCCCCGCTCCCACTTTAGGCTCCAGCATCCCTTGCCCTCAGTTCCTCAAGCCTGCCACAGACCCTGTGAATGGCAGTTAGACATAGGCAGAAGGGAAGGGAGAGAACCAATGTCTGTTGAGCCCTGACTCTGTGCCAGGCACTGCTAGAGCTTGTACATTCTGTCCTCATTTAATCTTTACCAACAACTGTCAAGGTAACTACTAATATTCCCATTTTCCAGATGAAGGAACTAAGATTCACAGAGATTTAAGTAATCTGCCTGAGGTCATTCAGCTACTAAAAAGAAGTGGAGATGTGAATTGAATCCAGGTCTCCCTAATGCTTCTACCCTGCCTCAGAAACCAAGAAGCTACCTGTGGAAGCTATCTATGGCTTCAAAGCACATCTAACTTCTCATAAGTAACAAAGCATGATATACTCATCATCACCTAACATTTGAGTGCTTATTAATATGCCAACATTGTGTAAAACCTTTAAATACCAATTCTCATTAACCTGATCACTACCCTGTGAATTAGATATGATTATCCCCATTTTACAGATGAGGAAACAGGTTCAGAGATGCCAAAGCCCATACCATGTGGTAAACCTTGGTTACCTGGCAGCCATAGGTCATGCTGAAGGATCAATGAGGCAGTGTGGTGAAATATGGCACTGAGCTGGAAACCGGAAAAAAAAAAAAAAAATCACTTTCTGCTCCTAGCTCTGCCACCCATTCTATGGTCTTGGCCAAGTCATTTGGTCTTTCTGAGCCTTGATGCCCTCGTGTATAGAAACATCTGTTTTTTACATCCCAGAGAATTGTTTGAGAGAATCAACCAAGATAGTATATCCCTTGAAAACTGTAACACTTTATAGAGTCAGCTCATTAGGAATGCATAGGGCTGCAAGTTAACAGAATACCTGATCAACAGTGGTTTAAACAAATGGGTTAATTTTTTAAATATAATCAGAAGTCTGGCAGTAGGAGGCTTTATCCGATACTCAATACCATCAACTCTCTTTCTAGCTTGCCACTTTGTTACTTATCATCCCTATGCCTATCACTTCATGGTCACAAGCTGGCTCCAGATAACACACCTGCTTTCAAGAAAAGGAAGAGAGAAACCCATTATCCATCCCCTATTACCAAGGAAGCAGATGCTTTCCTAGAAACTGCACCAGCACACTCTGTTTGTGTCTCTCTGGCCACAAATATTTCACCTAGCCACCCAGCAAAGCAGGCTGGGAAAGTGACTAATATTTACTTTCTCGGTCTCTGTAATAAAGGCAAAGAAAAAGCAAGTTAGGAATGGATGTTTCCCAGCCATCTTACAATGCCTGCCTCAGTTAGTATTATAAAAACAAACTCTGGTTATCTATGTTTTACTACTACCAAGACACTAAAACATGTTTTATTACTTAAAAAAAAAAAAAATCAGTACAAAACTTAACAGTATCTAGCCATGCATGTGATATCCTTTTCTTAATTCTTCTCCCAGATAAACACAGCACTACTTTCCTTATTGAAATAAAGAAATTAACTTATGAAAATTTTTGCAGAAATCCAGAGAGAAAGAAGAGAAGTGGTAAGAAAAATTGTCCAGCCTACCACAAGACCAAGCAGCAGACCACCACCACGGGGCAACCTAGGCCCTGGAAGACTGAATAATGAAACTAGACCCAATGATCAAGTGGATTCAGAACCCTTCAACCCAGACAATCCTTATCACGTGAGTACTGTTGTCTCGTGACATACTCGACTTAATTCATTCAACACAGCACAGACATGGTGGTATTTCTACTTGAGGTTTCAAATGAGCATTTAGTATTCAGCTGAGACTTTTGCTCAATTGTATAAATACATCTTAATTTTTTTTTTGGTTCAAGGTTTATAATTGAGGGTAAGAACACTTAAGTGTTGCCTCTGTAGTGTAAAATCCTGATTAGCTGTCAGCCTTTTCAGAGTTGTTTTTTGGCCTCTCCTTCTTTTTTCTTTTGGTCACAGGCAAATCTATGCAAACAAATATGTATTAGGAACTTGATTATTTAAAAATCTTTCCGAGACTGTGCCCTGGAGTCAACACACGGACTTCAAGTATTCTCTTTCCCCCTTTATATCCATTTTATTCATCTCGTCATCAAACATTTGTTGAGTGCCTGCTCTTTTCCAGGCCCTGGACACACTCAGACGAAGCTTCTGCTCTCAGAGGTTCTCAGTCCAGCCGGGGAGACAGACTCATACATAGAAAAAGACTCTTTACACTGAAACATTGAGAGATGGTGTCTGTAATGATGACACTGAAGCGCTAAAAAATCCTCAAACCTTCAATGAATTATTACTGACATTACTATACTTTCCAGGGGGTGAAAGAAGAATACCATTTATTTGTAACTAGTTTTAAATGAAAAAATAAGATGTATATATATTTATTAAAACAGTACAAAAGGCACACAATGAAAAGCGAGCCTCCCTTCCACCCCATCCTCCCCAATCTGTGAACAATGACTAGTTACCCAATTTCTTTGCATAAGCAAGTACACACACACAAACACACACATTTTTTAACACAAATGAGAACATACAGAACTTCTGCACCTTGCTTTCCTATTATAATTCGGTATTTTGGAGATTGTTCTAGGTCTCCCACATCCGCCTCATTCATTATAATGGCTACATAGTATTTCTAGTATTTCATTGTATGGATAACCATTAACCTACTGCCATGGAGTCAACTCCGACTCACAGCGACCCAATAGGATAGAGTAGAACTACCCCATAGGGTTTCCAATGAGTGGGTGGTGGACTCGAAATGCCGACCTTTTGGTTAGCAGCCGTAGCTCTTAATCACTACACCTCCGTACTGAAATTTAACTAGTTATGCTTCAATGGACATTTATTTCCCTTTCGAGCTGTAAATGCTGTTACAGTATACAGCCTTGTACATGCCTCATAGAGTTATGGGAAGGATTAAATGAGGTATTGTATGTGAAGCTCTTAGCACAGTGCCTGGCACAGTATAAGCACTCCTCACACAACAGCTATTATTATTATCCCTCTTGTACGTAAGTGGAAGTATATTCTTAGGATAAATACTGAAGCATGGGTCTGCTCGGTCAAAGTAGATGGCAATTTTACATTTTAATGGAGGATACCAAATTGCCTTCAGAGGAATTACATCAGGTACACACCTGCAAATGGTAATGAAAGGACCCATATATTATCACACTGTTATTTTTGCCAATCTCTTGCGTGTAAAATTGTTATCTTCTGGTTGTTTTTATCTTGCCTGCCTTTAATTATGTGTACGGTTGAGCATCTTTTCCTACACTGATAAATCATTAATTTTTTCTGTGTAGCCTGTTCAGTCCTACACTGTTTGTCATGAGTTGCAAATATATTTTCTAGTTTATCGTTTGAGACTAATATATTTTAGATTCAGAGCAAAAAGTATTTTCCAAATAACTCTAGGCTTATCAGAAAACTCAGGACACCACAGTACTTCATTCCCTATAAAAAAGAAATCTGAACAAGCAAACAATATTTAATATAGTTTATTCCCCAGGTAGCTGGACTGACTGAATCTGGTTCAAGAGATGAGGCCATCAGCCTCTGAGAAGGGCAGGATGTGACTCTGTCTGCCCTGGTTCCAGACAGGAGTGATCCATATCCCTTCAAAAACTCCAATTACATCCATTTATTCCCTCCTCATGATTGCAGTCCTTCATATATTCCTTTGAGGAAGTATCTTAGAACCACCTGAGATTTCCTCCCTGTTTTTTCATCCTAACGCATCCTCGTCAAGAGCTGAAAAATGCCTCCAACAGGCCTGACACCCGTCCCAGAGAAGTCAGCTGTAATCAATGAGGTGGTTGATTTTGCTTTCCTAGATGAACCCGATTCAAGAGATAAGGAAAAAAAAATGAAAAGAATATGAGGAACAAAAATGGTGTTTAAGAGTCAGACAATAAGTGGTATTTTGGTGACAACACGTGAAATTTGAACATAAGCTTTATCAGATGGTGTTAGGGAATTGTTAATTGGTGGTGTAGGACAAATGCCCTCATATTTTGGAGGTACATTCTAATGTATTTGTGTGATATATCAATTGCCTTCCAATCCTCCTTAAATTCACTTAAAATACTTCAGCCAAAAAAATAAGGTTAATAGCATAATCTACAGGTTTATCTGTGTTCAGTATACGATTTCCTCCTTTTCAATGTGTTTGAAATTTTTCATAATAAAATGCTCCCCCCTCCAATGAAGACTCTTTTTGTATACTGAAAAAGGTTGTTTAAGTCCACTGTAGGTCCCTAGATGGCGCAAAACGGTTTGCACTCAGCTACCAATTGAAAGGTGGGTGGTTAGAACCCACTCAGAGGCATCGCAGAAGAAAGGCCTTGTGATCTGCTCCCGTAAAGATTACGGTCAAGAAAACCCTATGGAGCTCAGTTCTACTTTGTAATACATAAGGTTGCCATGAGTCAGAATCCACTCAACTGCATCGGGTTTGGGGTTTTTTGGGTTTTTTGATGTTTCGTGCTGCATCTCCTCACATTCAGGAAAGGGGCTTAAATTGATGCAAGAGTTTTTATTAAAGATAAGAGCTTCTTGGCAACGTGATCCAATACCATAATAAAGAGGATACAGAATCTATACTCCTAGAAATATCTGAAAAGGAAAACCAGATATGCAAACTGGGCAGGGGGCAAGTTCCTTCCAGCCCTGTGATCTCTCCAGCAGTGAAAATGGAGGTTTTTGTAGGTGATTTTTACTTCAACACAGGTTTCTGTTTATGTAACTGTAAACCAGGAGGGTAAAGTTTAAGGTCTTGAATTCTTATTTTTTATAAGACCTTTTCCTCTGAGTGTTACAAACCCCATGTCCCCATGGAGATAACACACCGTTCTGTGGCAGACAGGAGAAACGAAATGACTTGACAGTGTTCTCAGAGTCAATACAACTGGAATTGCAATCTGTTGTTAGCCTAAATCAGTGAGTTTCAAAATACGCTCCCAAGAGCCCCAGAAGCCATTACTACAAAGAGGCACCAGATTTCCACTGACTTAAAATTAGCAGTAGCAGAAATGCTACTTCTGAATAATAATGCTTCCTTTTTGTTTTGCCATTTAAAACAAGTTGAGTCACTACCGAGAAGTAACCATGGCACTCATTAAAGGCATGCAGCAACTTCAGGATATCATTTAAACACACACACACACACACACACAAACCTCCTGCCAGTGACAGATTAGGCAGGTGAAAGTTTCATGAACTCAGAATAACTCTGAATGAGGGCAGGTTACAAGACTGAATACTCCTCATGGCACGTTATACTGATTTCCTGTAGCAGCGAAAAACTCAAGATCTTATTTAAAAATAATGTGCATGCTATTAAGACTTCTCATTATGAAGAATACTCAAATAATTTTTATTGTCACAGCAGCAGGAAGGTGAAAGCATGACATTCGACCCTAGACTGGATCACGAAGGAATCTGCTGTATAGAATGCAGGCGGAGCTACACACACTGCCAGAGGATCTGTGAACCCCTTGGGGGCTATTACCCATGGCCTTACAATTATCAAGGTTGCCGTGTGGCCTGCAGAGTCGTCATGCCATGTAGCTGGTGGGTGGCCCGCATCTTGGGCATGGTGTGAAATCATTTCATACACCAGGTGCTGTAAAGTAAAAATTAACTGAAGAGACAACCAAAGAAGCATGAAGCATCCTGATGCTGAAGGACCACAAAGTACTTTATACTCAGAGGGAGATTATTCTAGACACCTTTAAAAAATATTTCTCGATTGCTCTGAATTTTATCTAGCATGTGCAAATGTACTGAAAAGGTAGTTTAAGAATCCTTTTATTGCTATTTTTTTCTTTGCTTTGACAATAAGTGCCTGTTTTCCCAAGCTACTTTGAAATAAACATGGAAAATTATTTACAATTAGTCAAAGATCTCAATTGTACACTTGAGTTCTTTTTAATCAAGTCACTGACTAAGGAATTAAGCTGTTCTCTGATGTTACTAGGACATAATTCCTCAATTGTTCTTAACCTTTATTATTCCTTCCCAGCAAATGTGCCCCAGAGTTTGCGGATAAGAACGCAAATAAAATAGGGAATATAATGGAATCTACTTGAAAGTAAACATTGTAAGCCTCAATGTGGTAGCCCATGGGAAATTCTCCGTAAGCATGTACTGGCATGTAATTAACAGGTGGCTGCCCCCTGCTAAGAGTCACCTCCAGGAAAAGAGCATTAGGATAAAGGGGAAAAATACAAAGATAAATCAGACCTGTGGAAAGGAGGACTTCACTGACATTCTGAAAAGCAGGTCTTCACAGACTTTTCAATCTGTTTTCAATAAGTGGCCCCTGGACATGAAGCAGCATAGTGATTTCTAGCTTCGTAGTACAAACCAGGCTACTACTGTAGTCCAATTACCAATAAGTGACTCTCCTAGTAATGGGGTTGACAGTGCTGCTTGGCAGGCAAGGCTGAGGAGGGACAGACAGCTTATTTATTCATAATGACAAAGAAAATCTCTCAGGAACATGGACTGTCTTTAGAAATTGAAATATTAGATCAGGAGGATGAACAACTATTTCCTATTTCTGACATTTTAGTTTCGAATCCCACAGTTTTTTAGAGTTAACTTTCCAAAGCGGGGGAAAGATAAGTTTCCCAAATCAATAATGAAAGGATTCAGAGAGATGACAGAAAGGTCTTGATGCCATGATCTTACTACAGTCCCATATTCTGAATACATCTTATTATTGTATGTCTAATGTTTGTCAATTAAAATGTGTAAAGTCATAAAAAGAATTTTAAACCTGGTTATCAGATCGACACTCATATGCATGCCTATACTGAACGGAATATACAGCAAGCCAGGTCTCTGGAGAAAAAAGGGATGTAGGAAAGACACACTAAAATAATTACAAGTGATGGCTGCACTGCTCTTAGGCAGCAGCTACTTCCTGCACAGCACAAGTTATACATTTTACGCTTACTCTTAAAAATGGTTGTTACTCTATTAACTATGCAAATATATGCCAATGGTTCTGGACCACGATTACACCCTGCCTCCCTTCAATTGCCCAGCAACCTGTACTGAGTTGTAGAAATTAATTTTTAAAGGAGGACAAGAAAAGAGAAGGGGGGGAAAAAAATGAATGACTCCACTCCTGACACCTACTTTTCAGACAATGATCAGACAGGCCTAAAAAACAAGTAACACATGTGGAACATGCTTCTTAGTTTAATCAAATATACGAGAGCAAATGGGCAGCTCCTGCCCAAAAGCAAGATGCAAAGGCAAGAAGGGACAGGAACTGGACTAATGGACACAGGGAACCCAGGGCGGAAAGGGGGAGAGTGCTGTCACATTGTGGGAATTGCCACCAATCTCACGAAACAGTATGTGTACACAATTTTGAATAAGAAACTAACTTGAGCTGTAAACTTTCACCTAAAGCACAAAAAACTAAAAAAAAAAAAAAGACAGTGATCCCAGCCCAGAAGGGCTTGTGGTCTAGTACGAGATAATCAGGGTTCAGTACACCCAGGATGGGAGCACTGGGCTTCCTGGCAGAAGAGAATGTCTAAACTAGGTCTCTAAGAATGAGCAGGAGTTAGCCATGTGGAGGTGACACAGAAAGGGTGTTCCAAGCAGAGGGGGTAGTTTAAATCAAGTCACAGAGGTAGAAGATGCACAGTACAAACATGGGACCTGTAAGTATTCGGACTGAGATAGGAAATATCAAGATGGAATGTAGGCAAAGTTAGACTCTTTTATGATAGACAGCATGTTAACTTGGAATATTGTTTTGGGGGGGTGGATGGATAATAAGGAACCAACAAAAAGTTTCAGACAGCTGTTAATCTCACCCTTAGACCTCCTTACACCCACTACTCAAATAATTGTGACATTAAAAAATATATACAGAATAATCACTTAACCCATTCAACAGTTTATTTCTTACATCAGATTTTATTACACTCTGAAATACACACTACATTTTTACAAAATAGAAATTCCTTGTGTGAGTGGCATAAGTTAATTTTATTTCCGTATAAGCTGAATACACTAATTTCTTTTATGGACATTTGTTTTATAGAAATGGCCACGATTTTTTAAAAGTTAATTGACTTATTAAAGGGGGGGGCGGAATTGACCAAAATTTGCATGCACAGATAATCCTAATAAAATATCTCAAAATGAACGTATAAATGTGAATCAATAATGCAAACTTTAGCAAAAACATTTGATAGGCAAAGCTTCAGTGTTCATAAAAGAAAGCTAACTCCTTTTAAAGGGCTTCTGTACATATATGCTTGCTCCTAGTTTATACAGATACACAGGTGTGCTTTACTTTGAAAAAGCCCATTATAATATTAGAATCAAATTTACAGAACAGGTTAAGTTAGCACTGACTGACTTTACAAAAGGATTCACCACAGGCTTTATTTTAACTGTTTACATTGAGAAGTATTCAACTTATACAGTTTTTAGGTACTTACTGTGTAAACGTTAAGTACATCTACACATGAATACATTATGTGTGTATAATCTAACCTGGCAAATAGATGATACGATTTTCTGAAGTGTTTGGCTTATTGAACCTTTTTCACATCTTAACAGATTTGAAATCAAATATATAGAAGTCAGTTTTCATTAGGGTGTATGTTATCACAAGAGAGTGATAAAAATCAGTAATGGGAATGGAAATAAAGTATGCCCACTAAGCTATAACAAAGTCACTAAAACACCAGATTATTAAAAATGCTTCATTTTAAGAGATCTATCCCACTAAGTTCCCTCTTGGAGTCTGTCATAGTCCTGTTCTCTTCTCTGTGGCCCACTCCTCTGCAAAATTCTCTTCACCCCAAATTCCTGTAACTGAAGCAGAACGCCAGAAAATTCAACTCCCATGGCTACAGAAAAGGTTAACAGCAATGAGACAGCTTGAAGTAGTAATATCTATACACTTTTCAATTATTTTTTTAAACATGCTTTCTGTGGTTTCCTGTCTTTCAGCCTTCCTTATAACATGTAGATTATTTAATTGCTAAGAATTCTCTTTTCAACTGCCTATATTCCATTAGCCTAGGCTATTATTCATCTTTTTATAATGAATTTACCAAATACCAATATAAAGAACTGGAATAAGCTAGTCAAGCATGAGCTTTCTCTTAGCAAGGCATAGCACTGTTAAAGGCAATTAAAACCCATATTCCTGCCTCTTTGTTACTGAGGTAACCATAAAACTAAGTAAAAAAGATCTCCACAGGATGCACCCTAACACACATTCTACTTGACCTACTCAATCAGCACCATAATTTTTAATATTTAACACCTAGATATAATCAGGCAACACCTGAGATTCCAGTTGCTAAAAGAGAAAAGGTGCTTTATTGTGAATCAGTACTGTGCCATGGCTCTCCATGAATATTGAGTATTCTGGTATTCTGTGCTCAAGCTTAGTAATATCTCAGCAGTGATAAACTAGTGTTTTGCCTTGTTCTGAATTTGTTTCACTTTGACTGAAACAGATTTTCATCACGTGCAGTGCCATAGTTACATAGACTCAAAGACTTTGTCAAAATGACCCTATGGTTCTACTGACAGAGGAACAAAACAATCACTGAACATTTCTCCTCTGCCTTTTCACTTCTATGTAAGAGAGAAACAAATCCTTTAAAGGAGCAAGCCCCCAAGTAGCTTTTTACTCTTTCTAAAACTTAATGGAAATAAAGTATTAGAAGTGATCAGTGACAACCTCACTTCTTTATTCTTTTACTCCTTAAATTCAGTGTTTTCTGAAAAATCTCCTAGGTCACCTGCTTCAGAATCATTACTTCACTAAAAACGCAGGGTCATTACTGGACCCTATCCCAAACCTACTAACTCAAAACCTCAGGAGGGGAAGCTGAAAAAGCCTGCATTTAAAAAACAAACTTCCCAGGTGATGGTTACTCACATCACCATATCCCCTATACAGAATACACAATATTTGCCCAATGCCGTAATTTAGTTGCCTAATATATTTGGCAACTGTCAAAAGGTGACTCTAAGATTAAGAAAAATAGTTTAAATTTTAAGAGATTCAAATTCTGATTCTATCACTGTGAGTTACGTTGAAGAACTGCTATGAAGAAGCATCTTATGTTTATGGAAAACATAAATCTGTACACTCATGATTGGACTAGTAGTACTTTAAATCCACTCCAGCTCTGAAATTCTGATTTTATTTCTGTTTTATCTCCTCGTATGACAGGGCATGGAATGCAAATTCACGTTTTAGGGAATAACAGGTACCAAAGCCACATCTAGTCTTGGCAGATGGCCCATAAAAACATATTCTGATTTAACTAGTCTATCAAACATAAAATCCTCTACTACCATGCTTACTCTCAAGTCCCTGTTCACCACCAGTCATTCTATTTAATCCGATCTTGTTTCTGTATCTATTCTGCTATAACTATACTTATATTCCAGAACAAAAGGTAGCTCTGCTAAAAACAGACTACACTAAAATGTGGTATTACCTCTAATTTAATGTGCAAGGAGGATAAAGAGCAGAAATAAGGTGAGTACTTAGACTGAGGGTTTTTCATATACCCATTAAGTAATATAGTATAACTCAAGTTAATTTATTAGGGTGTTCAGAGTAAAATTCCACTGCAATCCCTGTAAAGTAAATTCCAGTTTTTGCTTCTAATGCTGCCAAGTGCTAATACCATTTATAGTAATTCCACTGGCTGAAAGAATGAGGGAAGAAAAAATATTTTTTGCATTGATACAACCACATTTTAAAGTGACATTAAGGAATAAAAGAAGTATTACCCCTTAAGGACAAAAACTATGGGAGAGTTGGTACTGGACTCCCGAACAGCAACAGTGGGCTTTAGAAAACAATGGAATAATGCCTTCAAAACGCTGGGGGAACATTCTCTTCAACCTAAAATTCTACAGCCAGTCCAGCTGTCACTCAATATATACTCAAGTATGAAAGTAAAATAAAGACAATTTCACTCATACAAGGGCTCAAGTACTTACACACACACACGCCCCTGCATGCTTCCTTTGGAAGCTACTGGAGGATGATATGCTTTAGCAAAATGAAAGTATACACCAAGAAAAGGTAAGGAACAGGAGAATAGTAAGGGAAAGCTTATTAAGTGACCAGTCCAGACTGATACAGAGACAAGAGGGCTGATACTGAGACCTCAGGCAGTGGGGGTGGGGAGGGGGAAATAGGGGGCTAAAATTTTTTGAAATGGTTGCCTCTGAGGTGGAGGACTGGGGCAGGGGAGGGAGATGGCCAGAGGACTTATGCTTTTCTCGTCTTAACTTCCTGCACGTGCAGCTTTTACATCATTGAAAAGGCTTCGAGCCTTTTCTTGTACTAAAGTAAGGCTAAGAAAGAACCCTATGCACCTGTTCTGACTTACTTACAAATTTGACAAAGACACACTTAGGAACGGATCCCACTCGTAACCCAAAGACTGCCTGTATGTAGGTTTAATAATTTTTTTTTAAAAAAGCATGACAACAGACAAAATAGTGATAGCACTGAGGACGAAAGGATCTTATATTGAGCTGGGGACAAACCGTAGTCTAGGCTACCTTCATCTGGGTGTCCCATTACCCCCTCACTCTACTTACCATTCAACCCCTCGTTCACACTGCTTCAGCCCCACGGCCTCCTCACTATTCCTCACCCACATCTAGCACGCTCCTGATCGAGGCCTTTACATGGCTGACCCTTCTGCTTAGTACCTATCTGAATGGTCACACCTTCACTTTCTTCAAATCTTATTCAGATGTCACTGGCTTGGTGAGTTCTTCTTGGCCTACTATGTCAAATTTCAATTGTCTATCGTCCCTTTCTCTACTTTTCCTCCTTGGTACTTAACATCATCTAACATAGATTTTGCTTACTTAGTCTATTTTCCCAACCACAAGCTAAGCTCCATCGAGATGGGGAGTTTTGTTTTGTTGGCCAGTGCACCCCTAGTGCCTAGAGAAGTGTCTGACATATATGTGGCTCTCAATGAATATTTGTTGAATGAATATAGGGGTGTACAGGAAACCCTGTATTTTCCTTTACCTACATTATTCTACCACCTGTATTAAAGTGAAAACCCGCTTAAAAAAAAAAAAAGTGTATGGTTTTTGATATCAAAGACCTCAAAGGGTATCAATACTGTTTAAAAAGTATACAGCTCTCACCATAGAGGGCCATATAGTTTCAATACTTCAAAATCGTTTGAAGGTGTTCCAGAAAAAATATACTAATGAGAAGTTCAAACTTTTGCCTCTAGAAGTTGGTATGCTTATAAATGCAATGGCTTCACTCACTCCTAGTTCTCAGAGCTCTCCACACTACAAACATATTCCACGCCTGGCTCTGTAAGGCTCTGACCTCCCTTAACTCCTCTACCCACACTCTCTGGACTCAAAATTTCTTCTGAAAAGATGACTAATCTAGTAAGTAAATTTCAGCCCCTTCCTTAAAGAAACACACACATTATGGTTTTATAGCAATTTTAACATACTATTATATCTTACAACAATCAGTACGATAAAAAAGGAATCTCAAAATTAGGAAACCAAAAAAATACTTTGATATCACACTAGTTTTCTTTAGTTATATAACTGCTATCCTCCATCAGTAATGTGGGTAACTAAGAACAAATCAGATTTAGCCCACACGGCCATGGCTAAACAACCTACTTAATACTATCTATGTTGATGAATAACTACACTGATCAATTTCAAGGAAGATTCACTAACAACCTGTGTTATGTATATGATGCAACTTTGCTTGCTGACAATGAAGAGGACTTGAAGCACTTACTGATGAAGATCAAAGACCACAGTCTTCAGTGTGGATTACACCTCAAGATAAAGAAAACAAATATCCTCACAACTGGACCAATAAGCAACATCGTGATAAATGGAGAAAAGACTGAAGTTGTCAAGGATTTCATTTCACTTGGATCCACAACCAACACGCATGGAAGCAGCAGTCAAGAAATCAAAAAGACACACCGCATCGGGCAAATCTGCTGCAAAAGACCTCTTTTAAAGTGTTGAAAAGCAAAGATGTCACCTTGAAGACTAAGATGCGCCTGACCCAAGCCATAGTATTTTCAATCGTATCATATGCCCGCGAAAGCAGGACAATGAATAAGACCAAAGAAGAACTGATGCCTTTGAATTGAGGTGCTGGCGAAGAATACTGAATATACTATGGACTGCCAAAAGAACGAACAAATCTGTCTTAGAAGAAGTACAACCAGAATGTTCCTTAGAAGCAAGGATGGCGAGGCTACATCTTACATACTTTGGACACGCTGTCAGGAGGGATCAGTCCCTGGAGAAGAACATCATGCTTGGTAAAGTACAAGGTCAGCAAAAAAGAGGAAGACCCTCAACGAGTTGGAATGACACAGTGGCTGCCAACAATGGGCTCAATCAAGCAATGATTGTGAGCATGGCGCAGGACCGGGCAGTGTTTTGTTCTGTAGTACACAGGGTCACTAAGAGTCGAACTGACTGGACGGCACCTAACAACATTATGCATGCGGGGCCCTGGTGGCACAGTGGTTAGGCATTTGGCTGCTAACCAAAAGGTCAGCAGTTTGAATCCAACAGCCACTCCATGGAAACCCTGCGGGGCAGTTCTACTCTGTCCTATAGGGTCATTATGAGTCGGAACTGAATCGACACCAATGGGTTTGGTGGTTTATTTTTTCTGTTTACACCAGGTAAGCAAATACAGAGATGGAAGACAGCCCCCTGCCCTCAAGAGGCTTAGTCGCATGGGGAACAAAATGAGTCAACTGCAACGTAGTAACATGATAAAGAGAGAAGAGATTAGCACTCTCAGACATGCTCATGAGGCACTGTGGTTTTTGTCTGACTCTATCAAAGGATCTGATGGGTGCTTCAAACAAGCAAATAACCCATCCAGTCACCACATAGAGTAGCACAAGATTAAAACAACTGGCCTTCTGGTGTAGGAAGGTAGATCGGCAGCCTAGAGATGGCATATGAGCTCAGTTTTGACAGATCAACAGGAAACTGGAGCTTCCCAGGTAAGTGGAAGTGATGAAAATACATGGCATATACAGACAAAGTAGAGATCTGCAAACCAAAAACAAGAAAAATATGAGACAGAGACTGTATGTGGCCTGAAAAGTCTAAAATATTTACTATATGGCTCATTACAGAAAACGTTTGCTGGCCCCGAAATAGGGTATTCTTGTGTGGCTGCAGCTGGGATATCGAAGAATGCAGTGACAGGAGATGAGGCTAAAAATGTGATGGGGGCTGAATTATGAAAGTCTTTGAAGTGCCAGGTGAAAGCCAGACTTGTTACCCTTCTCTCAGGAATTCCACTACTCAATAGGACTGAGGAAAAAATGCAGGAGCTTTCGACTTAAGTAACTTTAGTCAGGACTTAGGGAAATCCTCCTAATTCTGAGAATTATTATCCAGTTTTATAGATGAGAGGGAAAAAAAAGACACTTGTCCTCAAATCATACAACTGTTAAAATATCAGAGTTAAGATTTTTAAACTAAATTTAAACCAAAGATTTTTAAACTAAAGTCCTCTTTCCACCAGACAACGGCTGCCTCTGTGAGAGTATAAATATCAAATCAATAATTTTGCCACTAACACTGCATACTAACAATAACACTATGGAAATGTGTTCACAATTTCTAACATATTTCATGCTCACTAAATATATATCATCCTTTGCCTAAGCTAGCTAACTTTAAAAAGTGCTCATTTTTAGTCAATTAAGGTCCTATGCTACAGTACAGATGATCAGCAAAAAACAGTGGTGGGGGGAAAAAACCCAAATACCGAGAGTGAGTCCACAGTAGTGCCCATATACAAAGACTGCACATACTTATTTTTGCTCCCCACTGCCTTGGAATTCGATGAACTAAATCCATGTAAAAACACCTATCAGCTTCTCTTCACTGATGGGAATAACAAGATAGAATTTGGGATTTACACGTGGTTGATTTTGCACATTATTTCTATAAACTCTAATAGTTTTACTATGTTTTCCGATTTAAAGTTAAAATGAAATTAAAAGAACTTCTGAAAGGAAGTTCCTTAACATTTTACATATATTGTATTTTTGCCACCATTACTTTTTTATGACTTTTTGGAAGTGCTCCTGACAATACTTAAATACTTGAGCTCTGCTTAAATAACTACTCAAATTTATTAAAAACTTTTCTATGAACTGTTATGCTGTCAAAGTACAAATTTTATAAATTGTATTAACAACTTTTTAACTAGATGATATATCTTCCTAAGAAGGAATCCAGGATCTCGAAGGACTGAACTTATAACAAAAAAGGCTTTCTCTGGGATTTAAACCTTCCAGCCTAAAGACATATTATAAAATAATATGGTGTTATCTGTAACATTAAGCACTGCTATATGCACTTTACATATATAAGTATATAATTCTTTATTCAAAACCCTTGAAGCCAGATGTGTTTCAGAATTCAAAATTTTGGATTTTAGAAGTTAATACAATATAGATACATCATTTATTTTGTAACACCCTCAGCATGGTATGTGCTGGTATCCTGTAATTAAATATCACAATCTCTCTGCTGTGAAATATATGACTGTTCATACTAAATGGGATAAATATGGACTGTAAATTCAGGTCAGGTTTTATACCACTGTCACCAAAAAATATTAAAAAAAAAAAAAAAAAACCTTTGTTTTTACAGCTTTTTGGATTACGATAAAAAATTGTGGAAGTATGTGAATTCATTCAATTCTCGTAACAGCTCATGGGATAGGTACCGTTATTATCCCCATTTTTATAGATGGGAAAACTGATGCAGAGAGAGGTTAAATACCTGCCCATGGTCACACAGCTAGAGTGATTCCAAGCAGTCTGGCTTCAGAGTCCACGTACTTACCCATAAAGTGCATTCCTACCTTTCAATGCACTTAATACAGCACCAAGTTGTACTCATGTGCTCAACAGTTTACTATTCAGAGCTTTTGTGGTTGCATTGTGGAGTATGGTTTTTAGAAGTCCTCTGATAGACATTAGAGATTATTTTCCTAACTCTGGTCTGACAAGCTAAAAAATGCTTTGGGCAAATAGTATTATTTTTAAAACATGTCTCTGTATGACTGAACCCTGTAATCATAAGAAAAAATAAAGTCATTGAGACTTCATTTTTAAGTCTTACCTTTTAAAGTCTTACCTAAGAGAAATCTCAGTGCAAAAATAAGAATTAAAAGCTCAAACCTGAAGGCATATTAGAAGGCTCCCAAATAAACCGAAGTTCAGATTATAAAGAAAATACTAACTAGGGCAAAGGAACTAACCTGAATCATTCCAATTTTACTGAAGAAATCAGTGATAACACAAATCTTAAAATATGTATCCTGGAGAAACTCTTAAAACAATGTCAGCATTTATGCAATGAAAACTAGTTTAAGAGCTCCCCAGTTTAAAAAGACCAAGAATTTGATCGGCATGACTAGTCAGTCCTCTTACACCTGTAATGGTTATAAGGGTACTTTCTCTGTAATCATCTGGATTTGAGAAAAACAATACCCTCAACACAAATCAAAACTACTTGTTTGTATTATCATCTTCTATGAGATCCAAGAGGTTGGTATTCTAATAAGCTTTCCTACTTAAGAAATTAACTTTCTGATCTTTAGGGATATATGTACAAGAATTCTTCAAGAAATTCTTGAAACAATTCTTCCAACTTACACATTCTCTGCTTCATTTTCAGAGAGTTTATTTAGTGATAAAAATCATTCACTGCACACCCAACTCATTCACCTGGAGGAGGAGAAGTAACAGTGGTTAAAAGCATGAGCTCTACGGTCTGGCAAGACTAGGTTCAAATCCCAGCTCCATCACTTAACACTTGAATCTGTGCAAAGAACTTAACATTTTTCTGACCTGTAGTATCGGGATGCTTTCACTACTTCACAGGGCTGCTGTAAATGAGGTAGTGTGCATGAAGAACTTAGTGATGCCTGGCCCACAGAAAGTGCTATTATAGAGTAGTTACCACTATTATTGCCTTAATGGGTTAAGAATGTGTATGCTTTCAGCCAAGTTTGGGAGCAAGTTTACTAAGGTAGGAAGAGAGACTAAGAGATAAATTAATTCCAGAAGCGAGTCATAACGATGTCCCCAAATAGTAACATTTATTAGTAAATCAATATCTCTAATTTGTCCGTAAGTTCCCAGACATTTCCAAAATAAAATCTCCTGGTATGTGTAAAACGAAATTACGATAAACAATGAACAGATGGAGACAAAGGAAACCAGATCAATACAGATGATCCCTCTTACTTAAAACTACCTATGACCCTTCCTTGCACAGAAACCAGTATTTTGTCCTTTTGGCTTTTATTACCTCCCCTCCCTGGTTCCTCTCAGAAAGAGGTAATTGAAATCCATAGTCTCATGTGGCTGTAGTACCAGGAAGAAGTACAGGTTCATGTCTTTAGAACTGGCTACAAAGAAGTCACTGTAGTTAAAAAAAACAAAACAAAACAACAACAAAACACCCAAGCAAACAAACAAAATACCACCCAGAAATTTTCTTCCAAATTTTGGAACTGTCAGTAACAGCCACAAGTCAGAGAGAGATGCACACTAATCTGGGCAAGGAAAATCCCAATGGAATTAAAGTGCATTAGGCTGACCAGATGGTAAATTAATATGCAATTCTTCTCTGGATCAGTGATATACCTCAGAAAACAATGATCTAATCTGACAGGTAGGTAACTGAAGAAGAATAAAAGGGAGTGGGAAAGGACGGCTGTAAAAATATTTACATATGAACTAAACTGCTACCTAAACTATTCATAACGTCACAGTGATATGCCACTATTTCAAAAGTATATCTGAAATTTATCTACAGAAATTTCACAGGACAGTCCAATTATTTTCCTTTGTCCTATACAGTTAGCCTGCCAAAAAAATTTGAAGTTTTTCCAAAGACTTAGGGAGACAATGGCAATAACTGGCCAATGCTGAAGACTGAACTTGTTAGAAACCAGCTCTGAATGGGTATATACGACACAACACAGGAAATTATCAAAACTGACCCTGATGTTACAGACTGGTAGTATGGTAAATCTAAAGTGATTACGAGGTAACAGAGTTCAAAGAAGGTTGTCTCATCCAAGATTTCTTGAGGACAATGAAAGAATTGTGGATTAAACGGAAGGAAGCCATTAGGCACAAATGATTACAGGAATCAGAACAGATGACGTCTCTAAGAACAAGGGAAAAAAAGTATCCCCGGACTGAACCTTAAAAAAAGAAATATAAAGAGAAAAAAAAAGGCCATTCTGAAGAAACAAAAGGTTAACTAGAACACTATGAGAACCAAAGCTTGAGAAATAAGAATGAAAGTCACTCCAATTAACAGATAAGAGTGTAGAGAATATGGACAGAATTAAGAGGCTTTTAATCAGAACGAATTCATTATCATTAATTTCACTATCTAGAATGATGAAAGAGGAGCAGTACTTTAGAGTGGTACCTTAGGGCCGTGGTCTAGCCTGCTTCGTCAAATTCCCTTCTTGACCCATAAATCTAATGTATTTAGACCAGGTGCATTTTATAATGCTTTTAGTCATGTATATTAGGAATCATTTTGGCCCAGCAAAATCCTGAATCCTTTAACGCTAAGCAAATATAGCCAATAGATGAGCATAGTCTAGATAATATACTCTTTAAAATACAAACAAAACTAGTATTAGGATTTTTTGTTTTAAAAGAACAATTTCTATTATAATAATGCTATAAAAAAGAATAATTGTTCTTAAGTGACAAAAATGTTTCCTTATTTAGAACCATGGAGTTTTTAAAAACACTCTAAGACTCGACAGATTGTTTATAGATAAAGAAACTAAGACACACAAACGTTAAACCTGTCAAGATTATAAAGCTAGTTAGAGGCAGAGACTTGCTAGAGCTAGGATTCTTGTCTTGCCTCCTGCCCCCTTAGAACTAATGGTACTGAAAAATTTAACATACAGAACACAAAAATCACTATCTTGTTTCCATAAGGAGAAAATTTTGGAATTCTTCCAAGCCAAGTATTTATTTTTGCTTTCTCCTTCAATGTCCAAGAATAAAAAAGTAGCTTGCAACTCTAAGTGGGCAGAAGGACAAGTGAAAACTCCTGCATGCTTAAAGAAGCTATAACAACAGGTTTGGGCAGGATCTAGTATCATCCACTTCCACTTTCCTTATGAACTCCCCTACGTCTCACACATCAAAGGACTAGAAGGTAGGGGTTGCGTTCCCACCTTTCAGAGGCTGACATCGTGGCCAATTTGCTTCTCATTCACCCTACCCTCAGCTCTGAGTAACAGAGTAGTGCCTCACCACAAAAATATTAGTGACACCTAACAAAGAGCAACCTCTGAGGTCATTATGGTTGAAAAACAAGCAAAATCATGGTCAGAAAACGAAGTCAGGACAGCAGATCATCTTGCCTGTGCTTTAGAAGTGCTCAGACTGTGAAGAATTTTAATCATAGAACAGTTTCTTTCTCTCTCAAAACTGTATTTATAACCAGAGCTCAGCATTCAACTGTTTCATAATTTCTTCATGAATGTTAATTTTCTCTCTGCTCGATTATAAGCTTTTTGAAGTTAATGACCATGTCTTTTAGTTTTGTATTTCCACAGTATCTATTTATTCTAGGCAGAGAGTAGGTACTAAACATATGCATATCAATTTACTATCACCACAGCTACCTTAAACCACTGAAACCAAAGTAATCATGGGGATGTGAAAACAGAGATTTTGTAATAAAGAAGGAAAAAAAAAAAAATACACACACACACACACACACAAAAGAACACCAGTGCTCTAATTTTAAGAATCCTGCTATGGCAAAAGCAGCAAGAAGTGGAGTTGGGCTCTTCCTAGATCCCTCCTTGCCCCAGCATCGCAGGCTATCCTTCAGTATAACTGAATCTGCAGTGTGTTAACTCAGGGGTCTATGTTTTATACAAGAATTTGGAAGGCAAGGACCAAAATCTCAGTGCAATTAGAAATACTTCCCATTAAAAGAACCAAACGGGAATATATCCTGTGATAAATAATTTCTCAATGTTCTCATTAAAAACTTAAGAAAAAGGTAAATAAACCAAACTTCTTCATAGAAAAATTGTATTTACAACTCCATTCAAAAGCAGTTTTTAAACGGAAACACACTGTAACACTGAGACTGAAAAAAAATCTATGCTGACCCAGAGCTGCCAGGTCTAATAAATTATTAACAGAATACTGCATCAAAAATAAGGCAATAATTCAAGATATCCCACTAAAGATTTCACCACTCCCACAACTAGACAGCAATTATCTAGCAGCAAATGAGACTTCATTCAGTTTCAGTATGTCTGAAAACCTTAAGGACAGAAGTGATAAAATATGATCTTCATTCTTCCTTAGAAACTTAGAACACTTAAAGGAAAGTAATTTCTAAAGCACAAAGAGGTAAAGAGGTATAATTTTTCAAAAAGATACTCAGTGTTCAAAATTCAAGAATGCAGTATTTATACATAATGGATACTAGGTGAATATACACAATGCAGTGATAGCAAATTAATTTATTTAGTACTTTTTCCATTCCATATCATCAGGAGGATTGATTTCAACTTTCCTTTTACCTACATCAGACCAGTTGGTACTCAAAACTGTGCCACCAGACTCCATCTGCAATAAAGAATAAAAACAGATTAATTCCTGGACCATATAATCAAAATAGAGTATTTTTCTAAAAATTTTCCAAACATAGATTCTCAAATATAGGCTATGCTTTTCAATATAAACAAGACAATATTTTTATTTAACCTTAGGCTTACCAAAGAGGTTAACATGTTCTGCAAAATCTGAAAAGGACACTTAAGAGAAGTCTGTCTGGTAGGAGCATCATGTTCACATCCACTGACATATAAATAATCAACCATATCCCCCCTCTGTCAGTAAGGATACTCCACAAGGTATATGTGGAAAAATCACCTTCAAATAAAAATGAAACTGGCTCCCAAAGACAAGGATGTAATCTCTTTTGCTGAAGGCAAAAGCAACCTCTTTCTATACCAGTTGGATAGAACTTAATTAACAGCCCCTTCCTGATACTCCCTCTACGCTAAACACATGTGTGTTTACACTGGGATTAAATTTTTTAAATTGACGTATACGTACATAGGCACACAAAGTCATAGCATCACTGTGAAGAACTGGTTACCTACTTACCATCTACGGAACATATCACCTATCAACAACCCTAGCGTACTCATAAAACATTAAAAAGTAAAACTTCTAATCTTTTTTATTTTAATGTAATAAAAATTCACAGGCTTGGATCACAGCAAAGAGCGGAGTGAATTACTTAAAATCTAAACATTTAAGAACAATTAGTTGTATTGGCAAACATATAAAGCTACATACACTACTGTACATTGGAACCTCACTAGAATGCCACATTCTGTCAAGGTCCCTCACATGGGAGGCTTTTCTCCATTCCAATTCTTTGTAACAAATCTGTATAACAGACTACCCCTAACAGGACCTTCAGTTATATAACTGAAAGAAATGGATTTCATTTACAATCTGGTCGTATTCACTAATGATACTTATTTTTCCCTTTGCTACTTAAGGATTGCAGTGCAATTTAGCATTATTTTGTACATGCTGGTCTTTTTGTCCCAATTAGACTGGAAAATCATAGAGGATAGAGTCTATTTTGTTTCCTTTGTATTCCCACAAGGACAAAGCAAGTCCTTGGTATGTTCTAGAACTATGTTGTCAAATAGATGGCTTGTTTTATGAAAATATATGGTTTACTTACAAACAGCAAAGTAGCTGTACTGAAAACAGATGCAGACTCTTAAGTCATCTTTGAAATTTCACACACTGCTATTTGTCTAGCACACCTTTAAAAGGTCAACAATGAGACTGACTTCCCCTTCGGGGAAGATGGAGTAGGTGTATTTTTCCCTATTCCTCCCACGAAGTACACAAGTAAAAAGCCTGGACAATATATATTAACAAACTTAAGAAGAATCTGAAACGTGAAGGGAAGAAAGACTAGCTAGGGTTCTTGGGACCCAAGGAACAACATGGTGGTGAATTCCCTGGGTTTTCTTTTTGCCTCATATATCCCAGGCTTGGAGCTGAAGAAACCAGAAACCTGGAAATGCTAAGGGGCACAAACAAAAAGAGTCCCAACAAAAGTCTGCTATCTCAAACCAAAGGACCAGAAAAGGGACAGTTTAGGAGACAGAAAGCTTATATAATAATAACCATTCTGAGACTCCGGCAAGATGGCGGTCTAGGCAGAAGCACCACGCCGTCCCTCCACAACAAAGATCCGAAAAACTAAGCCAAACA